TTGGGTATTTTGGGTGTTTGGGAGTGTTTTGAGGGAGGGGTAGCTCGTTTGGTGATTTTTGGTAGGGATGAAGTGAACGGGTTCCTATGCGTTCGAGAGAGATTTCGGAAAAGGAGGGATTCGAGGGAGAGGTTTCAGAAAAGGGAATTTTTAGAGCAAGGTTGAATGGGGATTCCAGCCAGCTTCCTCCTTCTTGAAGGGGAAGTGGCTGGAGATTTTTAAAGGCTTAAATTAGGGGGATCTAGGTGGCTGTAGGGTAGTTGGTTGGTGGCTGTAGGGTGGCTGGTCGGAGGCTGGCGACAGCGGCGCCGTACCAACTCCCTGATTTCTGTCTTATTCTGTTTCTTTTGTTTGTTTTTTTTTTTTTGTTTTGTTTATTAATAATTTTTTTATTAAAAATATTATTATTATTATTAAAACAGTAGACCCGGACAAAATCGGTGTCTACAATACTAGTCATTTTGATATGCACAATGATTTTAAGTTCGTTATGAACTTTATGATTTTTTCAAATAATGTTAATCAATCTGTTTTTTCAATTTCATTTGTATAAGGAATACAAATGAGAGTTTTAGAGTTCAAATAAGAGGCTGTTGTTGATTCATTTGTTGATCTAATTGATATGTATGTGATTAAATTAGTATTATGTATCAGAATGCTATGTAAGACAATCCTTGTGCCCCGTCTCTTTGTTTTATATACCTGATGGACCAAATACATAATATATAGGAAAATGTACCATTAACGAATTTTCAACTGTGGATACATGTCTATCCTTACCATACAGAAACAAATGCTATTAATAAGCCAATTATGTTATATTATAAAGCAGTTTTTTTTTTTTTTTTTTGTGGCTTTACACATACCTTAGTTGCAATAACTCCTCTTGCCCTGGTAGAGGTCTGAAGTTCAAATGCTCTCCCACAAATTATTAACTATTAAAAGAAGATGCAAATATTTGGATCTGCTTAAAAAATTTGTGTTCAAATGATGCTCAAGTCAAATTTAATTTAACAAGTATTCTAGATTATAGTTTCTGATTTTTATAAGGTTATATACTTGTTTCATACTTAGGATGGGTGTTTTACGTTGTACTTAGGGGATTCTTATTATATTATGTCGAGACCTTGTGGTATAATGCCAAACAGGATAAAAATTTTGCTTGGTAGTCTCAATTTGCTTTCGTTATATCTTTTGTAAGTTTCATATTCTTGTGATGTTATTACTGAAAGGATTAAATGTTCCTTGCAGGCATATTGAAATTTGAGATTGTGGCTTTTTTAAATGATAGGAAGGCGGCACCTGGGATTTCTGTTGGGTAAGGATGGAGAATTGCATGTTTACCAAGTACCAGAATTTATTTGTTGATTATATAGCTTTTTATATTGATCTTATTGATTTGATGGTGAATGGAATGGGATGATATAGTGACAGGCCATGCAACAATTAAGTAATAGTTTTTGTGATTGATCCATTGGTCCCATTTCTATGTTGGTGTTTCTTTCTCTGAAACTCTTGGCTTGAAACTGGTGATTACTTCAATTTTGAACCTTTTCTTTCTGCATTGTGATAATTATTGGATTTTGAAGTGCAAATGCTATCTAAAGTTGTTTGATTCTCCTTTGAACTCACTGGCTGAAGAAGAGGATGACACATCAAAGACTCCTTCTCAGAAAAAGAAAATGAAGAAGCAGAGGAAGGTGGAACGAGCTAAGAAAGTATATCAGCTTGTTTTGGTGATTCTTGGCTAACACTCTCTTTGATGATTTCATTCTGATGCCGTGTATTATTTTAAGAGGCAGAGGAGAAAAATGAAGAATCAAGTTCTAGTGGCATCTCTAAGTGTGGGAAACGACATGTTAAACCTGTAGATCCTTATCCTTTTGGAGAAAATTATTGAAGGTTACCTATTATTATCTTTTCCCTGTGCTTTAGATTCCTGATTAAAGTCCTCGTGCTGTAAAAATGTGTTACGCTAATGCCTATTAAGCTAAGACTGTTTAATCTGTATTTTTTTTTTCAGACAGAGTATCCCTTGTCAGAAGCAACGAAGTACTTGAAGTTGCTTCAGAAGAACTCACCTGATTCTTTGGAGACGCACTTACTTTCTGTTGAAGTAAATATGAGAAAGCAGAAGATTTTGCTTGCCTTTCAGGTATTATATTTTCCTAGAATTGAACATGAGATGTGTTTCTTGTTCTTTTTGTGTTTGGTCAACTAGAACTGATATTTAATTGTCAGCTAGTGATTTGTGAGGAAGCCCCTTCTCTTGTTTTCTCCTCTCTTTTTTCACTTTCTGCCTGTGGATATGTTCTTGAAATAAAGAAACTGTACCGTTTAACCAAACATCCTTTTCTTATTGCTCTACTCACTCAATGAATTTATGTGTGAATTAGATAGTTTGCACGACATATCTTTGAGTTGTAGAACAATGGTTTTGTGCAGTAGTACTTTTACTATTTCATGAGCTCATATTAGTACGTTTGTCTTGGTTTTATTTTGTTTTCCTGAAGGCTGTAAAGCAACTGCGAAGGCTGTAAAGCAACTGCTAAGGCTGGATGCTGAGAATCCAGATTCATGTAACATCTGCCCTACCATATTTGTGCACTGCCATGCACAACTGCATTCTTTTCTGTTCTTAGATACAAAGATCATGTAATCTTTACAATGCTTATTTGAATTTAATCTAATGCAGATTAAATTTTTCCATAAATTGGGCTCAATGCCTGCTCCATTAACTGATGCTGAAAAACTTGTTTGGAGTGTCTTAGAAGCTGAGCGTCCATCCATCAGGTTCTCTTTGAAATGGTTTTATGATAGCTATTCCCCTACTAGAATTTTGTTGTGTTACTGTTACTATTATTATTTTGATCCCTGATGCATTAAATCCCTTTATTTTCTCTTTCTGCAGTCAATTGCAGGAGAAAACTCTTAGTGAGGCGAACAAAGTTTTCCTTGGTAAACATGAAGGTATTACGACCTTTACATAACATGATGCATTTTAGGTTCCTTGAGGTAGGTTGTATAATCATGCAAATTTCACTTTTTGGTTCTGCAGAATCTTTGATGCATATAGTGGCAGTTGCAGAAATGTTATATACCTTGGAGCAGACCAAGAAACTTGAGGCTGTTAAGTAGAGAATTAGTTGGTGGAGGACAAATTGGAATGTGTGAGGAATTTGGAGACCTTATGAAGGTTTGATTTCTACCATCTTAATTTTATTTAAATTTTTTACTTCAAATAATGCCCGATTTGATTTTTTTCTATTTTTTTCTGATGATAAAATGTGTTCTCGTTATAGACTGTAGATAATGATATTGCTAGTGTAAGCTGTTTTATTATGTCTTAGCTGTTAGTCATATTAATTTGATTTTCTGTTTGGTATTTTTTTTTAATAAGCTCCAAATGGTACCTTGGGATGTTCTGTTCATTATATTTACTCTGGATTTCTTCTCTCTCTTATTTATAGAATCACATGATGCAAATCCAACGAAAACCTTACTTTTTTTGTAGAGCTATCAAGCTTTCTCCCCTTTTCTAGAGAGAGGAGGGGCGGCTATTTTTACAAATACTCTTGTAGGGATCTTGTTTTTCTTGATGGCTTGATAAGAAATTATGTGACAAAAATCTAGTGATGTGGTTCTACAATAGACACAGTCCATTCGATGGCTTGTGATATTCTTAAATAATCTAGAAATAGATAGTTGTGGTATTATGCTGAAATACTTCATTGATGTCTTGATGTGACAATAGTAAGAACTCTAGGTGGTTAAAATTATGCTTTCATATGCTTCACCCCTAGAGAGTTGACATGGTGGCTAATTCTTTTATTAGTGGCTATCTTTATCTCATTCTTTTAGTTAAACTGACTTTCCTATATAAAAACCTTTTGACGATGGGCCAGGTTATGGCATGATTGAAATAAAGTGTCAAACTCTAGAGCTTTTGGAATTTGACTCATGCAGTGAGGATGTATTTAAATTGTTTTCTTCCTGTAACCCACATTTGTTATGTATTCATTCATGAGAATTGTAATTATTGCTGTTACAATGTGCATCATTATTGCCAATAAATGCTACTTCCTTTATGATGTGTGATGAATGTTCTAGGACTTATATTAAAACTTTGTTTTCTCAATTTTTAGAGGATACCACTTGATTTACTGCAAGGAAACAAATTTCGTAAAGCGGCAATTGATTGCATTAAGCCTCTTCTAGCCTTTATATCCAGGTGAGATTTTTTTTTTTTTTTGTATTAGTTTGACTGGTGTTTTTTAGTTTGACTGGCTATTGTTTCTTGATCTTTTGGAGAAGTTCTTGGAATTTTCTTGAAGCTGGGTCTATGTGTATATTATTTACTTCTCTTTGGTGACAGAGTCGGATACTGAAACATGTTGGTGATTTGGTAGCTGTGGCTTCATTGACAGATGAAGCTAGGTGTATGGATCTTGCAGATCGCTATGTAAACAGTTAATCTGTGAAGCGAATGTTGCAGTCTGATCAGGTTCTAAGGCTTCCCCACTTCATCTTTTGTCATAGTTAATATTTGTCACTAAATTTCTTTCGGTATTATTGTACTGTTCACAAGCTTTTTCTACTTTTGAAGGTGGCTTTGGCAGGAAAAACTGCTGTTTTGTTCACGAAAGATGGGGGCCAGCACAACAACCTTCATGACATGCAGTGCATGTGGTCTGTTTTTGTTTATTACCTTCCACATGTTGTTGTCTCTAATTATAATTTGGGTACACCTACTGAGTGTTATCCATCTTTTGAAGGTATGAACTTGCTTCTGATGAAAGTTACTTTCGACATGGTGATTTTGGACGGGCCCTGGAGAAATTTATAGCTGTGGAGAAGCACTATGCTGATATTACTGAAGATCAATTTGATTTCCATTCTTATTGTTTGCGGAAAATGGCACCACGTGCATATGTTGGAAAGCTAAAATTTAAAGATTGGTTGCATTCACATGCTTATTTTCACAAAGTAGCAGCTGGAGCCATTAGGTGAACATTTTTGTTAGGATCTGCAGCCTTTTCAATGATTTGCAATAGACTTATTCTGTTTGGTTGTGGGCTGTACGTGTAAAATGCTATGCAAGCTCTGTTGTCTACTTGTCTGGGTGCTTTTAGCGTCTGTCACCTATTGTTGATGAACACATGCATGTGATGCTTCCTTTTGGGTTAGATTCCTCTTTGCCTCCCTCCTTTTCCCTTTGTCTTTTGGGGAATGTGGGATTATTGCATACATATATGTTGCAATGATGTGTTGTCTGAACCTTGCTTTCAAAGCATGAAAGACTTCCTAAAGGTAACTGTTGTTCATTACTTACCCTTGTACAACTATTCATTTGTTAATAATTAGACACTCCCATTATGATATCCAATCTAATTGAAGACTCTTTTAGCAGCCCTTCCATTAATAGGAGAGGGGATATCATATCAAGATTTCTGATTCCCCTCTCCTACTCTAACTTTTCCTTGAATCCTAGACGTAAGGATTTACAACATTTTTGAAGACAAAACCTTGCTAAGTTTATAGTCAAGAAAGTATCAAGAGTCCTTTTCTTGCACTTGTTTTTGGTAGAGAAAAATTTTTGAGTCATATGAGCAAAGCAGAATATAGGGTTCCAAGTTTTTTGTTGATCAAGCAACAACTTGATTTGAACCGGGGAATAAGGGATTTGCAATCCCCGCCTTACTGGTTAGCCATGTCACCAAAGGTTAGAAACCAAAAAGAATGAGTGTATCCCCTTTATAACTTTAGTTATAGATTGGATCCATACCTTGAATTAGTTATAGTATCTCAAGTAAAAAAATTAGTATTGTTCTTTTTTTCTTTCAATAAAAAAAATTCTTAATTTGATTTATATTATAATGTAATAATATAACAACAATTATGAGTCTAGGTAAACCCCGTAACGAAAGTTATTGCACGGCAACAAAAAGTTCAACCCAACAATGAAAAGCAGCTTGAGGTTTTTGTTCTTTTCATCCCTATGCCATTATGAAAAATTTTATCTTTACGAGTACCCATTTGCATTTTCATTGATTTATGATTTGGGTGAGTGTTTTTTGATTTCATTTTGTGTCTCTTGTCATCTATTGTCTTGCTTATAAGTACTTCCAGTTTAAGGGTACCCATTTGCCTGTACTGCTAGTTCATACATTTGAAGATTTTATCTTGGTTAATGAGGAGGTCAAATAATTTGATAGAATTTCAAGCTGTTGCTATTGGAAATTACCTTCTGCAGATGTTTAGCTCAGAAATCAGATTGATTTAGTTAGATATATGAGGGTTGATTAGGAGACACTGTCTGGTGTAATATAAAAGATTTTGGCTGAGGGGCTCAAATGAGCAAGTTCAAGTCCTGAAAGTAGCCTCATTGTGTAAAAAATGCTGAATCCTAAAGGCTAGGAACATTTTTCAAATGACTCTTCTTGGTTTCTCATCCTTCATTGGCAGGATTGAGGCTGAGTAATGATCCTCTTTATGAGGGAAGATTATACAAAAGGCTGTTTAGAAAGCTTTCTCCAAATTGCTATAAAAACCAACCATCATAGCAAAACGGCAGTGTCTGTGTTTCTTCATTTTTGGGTTCTTCCACACACTGAAATAACCTTTGCATATCAACAGGAGCTGACCTCAACCTCTGGACCTTGTGATCCTTTATGTTGAGTTGATGAAGCTAGCTCGTTAGATTTCGAAGTTACTTACCAGCCAAAGACTAATTTGTTGAAAACTATTGGTGTTTTCACAGCAGCTTTAACAGGGACTGTGGCAATTAACCTATCATGGGTTACCAACATCCAGGTTTATCTTTAATTTCTTGTGCAATCCTTTCTTTGTAGGTTGTAATCATTTTTTCATCTTTGGCCAATATTTTGTATATTCTTGTATTATCCACAGAAGCCTTTCTTAATTTGATCTAATTTCATAATGCATATTTCTATGGCATTGCTTTTTGTAATAGGATATGCAGGCATTATCTTTGAAGAATTCTAGCCTCAATAAAAGTGGAATAGATTGTTGATGGCTGTGAGTTTATGGTGGTAAGGAGCATAGGGGTAAGAATGATTCTCAATGTTTAGGGATTGGACTGTGTTTTTCTGCTGTCCCCTCTTCTTGTAGTTTGCATCTATTTATATTCTATAAGCATTGGGATGAAAACACAAAATTCTGTTGCGTATTGGATGGTTTATTACTGTGTCAGTTCAATGTTCTTCATGTCATTGGTGGTTAGTCATGACGGTATTATTAAGAATTAATGAAGCATGATGTTGTTAAGAACAGGTGTTGAATTAGTTACATTTTTGTAAACTTAATTTTGACATGCATTGATGGAAATGTTTACAAGAGGATCTTTCCTTTGATGGATCTTTGAAAGTCTAAATAGTGTATTGAATTCTGTGTTTTGTAGTGTAGGGAGAATTAAGGCATTAAATTTCTATGGTGTTGCATTTAAGAATTAAAAATTTATGTGGCTGTGTATGGGAGTTTGTTTTCTCCATGTGTGCTTCAAGCAGCGAATTCAATTTCTGTGCCTCTTGTGTGTGTAGGTACGTGTTTAGGGAGGTTTTTATTTTGTTGTTTCACTCTATTTGTTACAAGGCAGATTGGTTTGCTAGGTTCAATTTCTGTAATTTAATTTTGACATGCATTGTGGTTGAATGCTTAAAAGGAAGATTATTTCTTTTTGCTGGATTCTTTGAAATTCTAAATATATGTTGTCATAGGCTCTCAGTTTGATGTCTTTCTCATTGAGATTGTGTCTTGATTCTTCTTGTTTCATTTTTAAACTTTTACATAAATTAGGGCTTTGTAACTTTACTTTGAAAAATTCCCTTGGGTTGTGATGTGATGGTCTGTTTGAAACTTGATGCGTTGTGTCGTCCAAGAATGACTTGCAGGGGAATTATGGATTCTAAATTTGTATGGTTGTGTGTAGGATTTAAGGATTAAAATGTGTGGCTCTGTGTGTATGGGAGTTTTCCTTCTTGTTTTTCTCTCTGTGGCATGACAGAGAGAAAAAACTTTTTATGTGGTTTCACTGGCTTGGCTTTTTTTAGTTATGTGATGATTGTCAAACTTTTTATTGTGGTTGCCTCTAATCGTTGATGAAGTTGTTTGACGAATGCATTAGGAGAATGTTACTGTCAAGAAATTCCTGGGTTGTTGGTTCTTCATCCATTGATGTGCCCTAGTTGTCATTTGTTTGTTCTTTGAACGCTTAATGGGCTATTGTGCTCTAAGCATACCTTGCAGGATAGAGGAATTAAAGTTTCAAATTTCTGATGTCCTGGTGTGTTTGGTTGGTTTTATTCCTGTGTGTTTTGTTGGGTTTATTTTGCAAGTTGGCTTTTAGATTTTCATTCCCATAGCTTCTGGTTAATTCTAATTTTTTGGTTGTAGGCTTGTGATTTGCCGGAGTTTGATTTGAACTATCAATTATATGTTGATCTCTTATCTTTAACATTCATTAAATTTTAGTTTTCATCTTTTGTGTACAGATTGTAGTTTTGTAAACTTTTCTTAATTGTGATTGCATTTAGTAGTCTATACGGAATTAGTTGATCGTGTACTTCGAACACGATTTGCTAGAGAGAGGAATTAGAGATTGTATCAGCAGTGTACTCCAAATTTGTATGGTTGAGTTTTCTATTTTTTATTTTTTTATTTTGCTAGTTCAACTCTGTTGCATGACAAATTGTAATCTTAGGTTTAATTTCAAAAACTTAATCCAACCTCGCACTGAAGATGAGTGCTTACAATGAAGAGTACCTCTTTTTTTTTTGTGTTGTGTTTGATTCTTCTTGTTTTGCTGATTTCACTTTACTTTGTTGCATGATTGATTACTTTTTTAAGATTAATTTCATAAACTTAAATCTAGTTAAGCACTGAGATGGAAGATTGCCTCTTTCTTATTGGATTCTTTGAAAGTCTATGATCTTGCATAGAATTTTTGTTGTATTGTATGGTAATTTCGATGATAATTGTACTTGTTTAGTACATTTCAGATCATGAAAGTTTGATTAAAGTTGCTAAAATTCTGTGTTTCTGATTATAATATAGACTTTGTTTTCTTAAGTAATACTGTTTATATTGGAAGCATCCTGACTTATGATGTGTTGGTGGCTGTTGTTTTTTAACTTTGGTATATAATTGTTGTATATTTATGTTGAGATGCAAAACTACTCTTATCTTTGGCCTTTCATTATAATCTTTTTTTGTTAAGGTTTGTTGCTTTAGTTTTAATTTCTCTTTAGGTTTTTAAAGGCCCTTTTACTTTCGTATCTTTGGGTTTCCGAGTTAAAACATTTATAATATCTGATTTGTGAGCAATGGATGTTATTAGGTTTATTTTGCAGGCAATCTTTGCCTTGCTTGAGCATGAAGTTCAAGTTTTAATTGTCTTTATTTCTAAAATAGCATTGTTCTTTATACATGTGCCATGTTGCTTGTGTTTAACTTAAATGCAGCATTGTTCTTTATATATATGTGGCATGTTGTTTATGTTTAACTTAAAATGCAGATCACCTTATTATTAAGCATTGTTGAATGAGACTTTGACTTCATTAAAAATGAAGGTGTTTATGTGTATGTATACTAATTAGATATCTAATTAAGATTCTTTTGTATTTTATCTTGGAAATTTATTTTTATTTATCGTGTAATTTATGTAATTAACAAAAATTATATTAGATAATATTATTTTTTATTTAATACAATTTCGATTATTTTTTTATTGCTTATTATTTTATTTATTATTTTGGATTGTATAATATTTATCTTTTATTAAGAGATAATATAATTATTTATTTAATATATATTTTTTTATTTTTGATTTTTTGATTTTTATATTTTTATTGTATTTTGTTTTATCTTTTTTGTTTTTCATTAACTTTTTTCTTTTAAAATTTTTTTTTACTTATTTTTTTGTGCTTTCATTTTTTTTGTTTTCACTTTTTTCTTTGTTTTAAAATTTTTACAAAACTTTCTTTTTATTTTATTTCATATTTTTTGCCTCTTCATTTTTTATTTTTTCTTGTTTTTCTAATTTTTTGACAGTTTTTTTATTTCTTGTTTCCATTTTTTTTTACACTTTCTTGAATTTTTTATTTTTCATAAATCTTTTCTTTTTATTTTTATTCCTTTCTTAATCTTTTTACAAATTTTTTTTATTTCTTATTTTCATTTTTAAATTCTTATAATTTTTTTTTGTTGCATTTTCTTCTTTTGTTTCATTTTTATTTGGCATTAACTTTTCTCTTATTTATTTTTTTGTCTTTGATTTTTTATATTATTTTTTTATATGTTTTTTAATTTTTGTATTTTTTTATTTTTTCATTTCATTTCATTTTGTATTTTTGTATTTTTGATTTTCTTATATTTTTATCGCATTTTCTTTATTTATATTTTATATTTTTGTCTTTATTTATTTTTTTGTTTTGCTTTAATATTTTTTTCTTATTTTATTTTATTTTTATTGTTATTTCTTTCTTTATTTATATTTTCATAATTTTTATCATGTTTTTTATTTTTTTTATCTTTCTATTTTTTTTTATTTATCATTGTTGGTTTATTTTTCGTTTTATTTTTATAATTTTTCATTAACTCTTTTTCCTTTTTCCCTTTTAAATTTTTCATTTTTTACTTATCTTTTCATGTGTTTATATTTTTTTTGTTTTCACATTTTTCTTTGTTTTAAAAATTTCTACAAAACTGTTTATCTTTTTATTTTATTTCATATTTTGCCTTTTCATTTTTTATTTTTCTTGTTTTTCTAATTTTTTCACAAAATTCTTTTTATTTCTTGTTTTCATTTTTTTATACTTCTTTGGATTTTTTTTCTCATAAATCTTGTCTTTTCATTTTATTCTTTTCTTTTTATCTAACAAATTTCTTTTTATTCTTATATTCATTTTAAATTCTTATAGTTTTTTTATTTCATTTCTTCTTTTGTTTTAATTTTTATTTTGCATTAACTTTTCTCATTTTTAATTTTTGTCTTTGATTTTTATATTGTTTCTTATTATTTATGTTTTTCATTTTTTTTGTATTTTTTTGTATTTTCTCATTTCATTTCATTTTATTTTTTATTTTTGATTTTCTTACTTCTTATATTTTTATTGCATTTTTGTTTATTTTATATTTATATTTTATTGTATTTTATCTATCTTTTTTGGCTTTGCTTTAATATTTTTTTTTTATTTTTTTTTTATTTGGTTTATTTTTTATTTCTTTCTTTATTTATATTTTCATAAATTTTTAACATGTTTTTTATTTATTTATTTTTCTATCTTTTTCTTTTTTTTTATTTTTTTTATCGTTGTTGGTTTTTCAATTTTATTTTTATAATTTTTCATTAACTTTTTTCTTTTTTTCTTTTAAAATTTTTTATTTTTTTACTTATCTTTAATGTGCTTTCATATATTTTTTTTTGTTTTCACATTTTTTCTTTTGTTTTAAAAATTTCTACAAAACTTTTTTATCTTTTATTTGTGTTTCATATTTTTGTCTATTCATTTTTTATTTTTTCTTGTTTCATATATTTTTGCTTTTTTGCTTTTTTATTTTTTTCTTGTTTTTTTAATAATTTTTCACAAAATTCTTTTTATTTCTTGTTTCTATTTTTTTTTATACTTCCTAGGATTTTTTTTTTCATAAATCTGTCTTTTCATTTTTATTCCTTTTCTTAATTCTTTTACAAATTTCTTTTTATTCATATTTTCATTTTTAAATAAATAATAGTTTTTTTTGTTGCATTTTCTTCTTTTGTTTTCATTTTTAGTTTTTTTGGCTTAGATTTTTTATATTGTTTTCTTATTATGTTTTATATGTTTTTCAATTTTTTTTATTTTTTTTCTATTTTTTCAATTTCATTTCATTTGTCTTTTTTAATTTTTAATTTTTGATTTTCTTACTTCTTATATTTTTTATCGCATTTTTTGTTGTTTATATTTTATATTTTTTGTATTTTATTTATCTTTTTTGTTTTGCTTTAATATTTCTTTCTTATTTATTTTTATTTTTTATCTCTTTCTTTATTTATATTTTCATAAATTTTTATCATGTTTTTATTTTTTTATTTTTCTATCTTTTTTTATTTATCGTTGTTATTTGTTATTTTTGTAATTTTTCATTAACATTTTTCCTTTTTCTTTTAAATTTTTCACTTTTTTACTTATCTTCATGTGTTTTCATATTTTTTTTGTTTTCACATTTTTCTTTGTTTTAAAAATTTCTATAAAAACTATTTTATCTTTTATTTTGTTTCATATTTTTGCCTTTTCATTTTTTATTTTTCTTGTGTTTCTAATTTTTTTCACAAAATTCTTTTTATTTCTTGTTTCCATTATTTTTATACTTCCTAGGATTTTTTTTCATAAATTTGTCTTTCATTTTTATTCTTTTCTTAATTCTTTTACAAATTTCTTTTTATTTCTTGTTTTCATTTTTAAATTCTTATAGTTTTTTTTTGTTGCATTTTCTTCTTTGTTTTCATTTTTAATTTTTGCTTTGATTTTATATTGTTTTCTTATATTTTTATATGTTTTTCAATTTTTGTATTTTTTTTATATTTTCTCATTTCATTTCACTTCTTTCTTTTTTTATTTTTTATTTTGATTTTCTTACTTCTTATATTTTATCGTATTTTGTTTATTTATATTATATTTTTTTGTATTTTTTATCTTTTGTTTTGCTTTAATTATTTTTTCTTTATTTATTTTGTTTTTTTCTTTTTTCTATTTATGATTTTAATAATTTTATCATGTTTTTTTTATTTTTCTATCTTTTTTTATTTATCGTTGTTGGTTATTTTTTCTTTTATTTTATATTTTTCATTAACTTGCTTTTCTTTCTTCTTTTTTTCCATTATTAAAATTTTTCATTTTACTTATCTTTTCATGTGCTTTCAGTATTTTTTTTGGTTCCACATTTTTCTTTGTTTTAAAAATATCTCATAAACTTTTTTCTTTTATATTTTGTTTCATATTTTGCCTCTTCATTTTTTATTTTTCTTGTTTTTTTAATTTTTTCACAAAATTCTTTTTATTTCTTGTTTCCATTTTTTTTATACTTCTTTGGATTTTTTTTCATAAATTCTTTTCATTTTATTCTTCTCTTAATTCTTTTAACAAATTTCTTTTATTTCTTATTTCATTTTTAAATTCTTATAGTTTTTGTTGTTGCATTTTCTTCTTTTGTTTCAATTTTTAATTTGTATTAACTTTTTCTCATTTTTAATTTTGTCTTTGATTTTTATATTGTTTTTTTATTATTTTTGTATTTTTTCAATTTTTGTATTTTTTTTGTATTTTTTCATTTCATTTCATTTTGTCTTTTTTTTATTTTTGATTTCTTACTTCTTATATTTTTATCGCATTTTTGTTTATTTTAATATTTTATATTTTTTTGTATTTATTTATCTTTTTGTTTTGCTTTAATATTTTTTTCTTATTTTATTTTTATTTCATAAATTTTTATCATGTTTTTATTTTTTTATTTTTTTATTTTTTTCTTTTCTTTTTTTATTTATCGTTGTTGTTTATTTTTGTTTTATTTTTATAATTTTTCATTAACTCTTTTTCCCTTTTCATTTTTTTACTTATCTTTTCATGTGCTTTCATATTTTTTTTTGTTTTCACATTTTTCTTTGTTTTAAAAATTTTTAGAAAACTTTTTCATCTTTTATTTAATTTCATATTTTTGTCTCTTCATTTTTTATTTTTTCTTGTTTTCTAATTTTTTTCACAAAATTTTTTTTATTTCTTGTTTCCATTTTTTTTTATACTTGGATTTTTTTTTCATAAATCTTTTCATTTTTATTCTTTTCCTAATTCTTTTACAAATTTCTTTTATTTCTTATTTTAATTTTTAAATTCTTATAGTTTTTTGTTGTTGCATTTTCTTCTTTTGTTTTCATTTTTTATTTGCATTAACTTTTCTCATTTTTAATTTTGTCTTTGATTTTTTATATTATTTTTTGTATGTTTTTCAATTTTTTGTTTTTTTTTGTATTTTTTCATTTCATTTCATTTCTGTTTTTTTTTTTTATTTTTGATTTTCTTACTTCTTATATTTTTTATTCGCATTTTTGTTTATTTTATATTATATATATTTTTTGTATTTTATTTATCTTTTTTGTTTTGCTTTAATATTTTTTTCTTATTTTATTTTTATTTTCATAAATTTTTATCATGTTTTTTATTTTTTTATTTTTTTATTTTTTTTATTTATCGTTGTTGGTTATTTTTTGTTTTATTTTTATAATTTTTCATTAACTTTTTCCCTTTCATTTTTTACTTATCTTTTCATCTTTTATTTAATTTCATATTTTTGTCTCTTCATTTTTATTTTTTCTTGTTTTTCTAATTTTTTTTCACAAAATTCTTTTTATTTCTTGTTTCATTTTTTTTATACTTGGATTTTTTTTTCATAAATCTTTTCATTTTGTTCTTTCCTAATTCTTTTACAAATTTCTTTTTATATCTTATTTTCATTTTAAATTCTTATAGTTTTTGTTGTTGCATTTTCTTCTTTTGTTTCATTTTTATTTTTGGCATTGATTCTTTTTAATTTGTTTTTATTATTTTATATTGTTTTTTCAATTTTTTAGGTTTTTTATTTTTTGTATGTTTTCATTTCATTTCATTTTTCTTCTTTTTTTTATTTTTGATTTTCTTACTTCTTATATTTTTTATCGCATTTTTATTTATTTTATATTATATATTTTTTTTGTATTTATTCTTTTTTGTTTTGCTTTAATTATTTTTTCTTATTTTATTTTTATTTTCATAATTTTTATTCATGTTTTCATAACTTTTTCATGTTTTCTTTTTTTATTTATCGTTGTTGGTTATTTTTTGTTTATTTTTATAATTTTTCATTAACTCTTTTTCCTTTTCATTTTTTACTTATCTTTTCATGTGCTTCATATTTTTTTTTGCTTTCACATTTTTCTTTGTTTTAAAAATTTCTAGAAAACTTTTTCATCTTTTTATTTAATTTCATATTTTTGCCTCTTCAATTTTTCATTTTTTCTTGTTTTTCTAATTTTTTTCACAAAATTCTTTTTATTTCTTGTTTCCATTTTTTTTATACTTGGCTTTTTTTTCATAAATCTTTTCATTTTTATTCTTTTCCTAATTCTTTTACAAATTTCTTTTTATTTCTTATTTTCATTTTTAAATTCTTATAGTTTTTTTTTTGTTGCATTTTCTTCTTTTGTTTTCATTTTTATTTTGCATTAACTTTTCTCATTTTTAATTTTTTGTCTTTGATTTTTTATATTGTTTTCTTATTATTTTTGTATGTTTTTCAATTTTTTGTTTTTTTTTTGTATTTTTTCATTTCATTTCATTTTTCTCTTTTTTTATTTTTGATTTTCTTACTTCTTATATTTTTTATCGCATTTTTGTTTATTTTATATTTTATATTTTTTTGTATTTTATTTATCTTTTTTGTTTTGCTTTAATATTTTTTTCTTATTTTATTTTTATTTTCACAAAATTCTTTTTATTTCTTGTTTCCATTTTTTTTTATACTTCGATTTTTTTTTCATAAATCTTTTCATTTTTTATTCTTTTCCTAATTTTTTTACAAATTTCTTGTTATTTCTTATTTTCATTTTTAAATTCCTTATAGTTGGGTTGGTGGCTGTAGGGTGGCTGGTCGGGGTAGGTTTGGTCGGGAGGCTAGCGACAGCGGCCGCCATACCAACTCCCTGATTTCTTGTCTTATTCTGTTTCTTTTTGTTTGTTTTTTTTTTTGTTTGTTCATTAATTAATTTTTTTATTAAAAATATTATTATTAATTATTAAAACAGTAGAGCCCGGCAAAATCGGTGTCTACAATACTAGTCATTTTGATTATGCACAATGATTTTAAGTTCGTTATGAACTTTATAGATTTTTTCAAATAATGTAGATCAATCTGTTTTTGCAATTTCATTTGTATAGGAATACCAAAAGAGAGTTTTAGAGTTCAAGATAAGAGGGCTGTTGTTGATTCATTTGTTGATCTAATTGATATGTATGTGATTAAATTAGTAATTATGTATCAGAATGCTATGTAAGACAATCCTTTGTGCCCCGTCTCTTTGTTTTATTATTACCTGATGGACCAATACATATATATAGGAAAATGTACCATTAACGAATTTTCAACTGTGGATACATGTCTATCCTTACCATACAGAAACAAATGCTATTAATAAGCCCAATTATGTTATATTATAAAGCAGTTTTTTTTTTTTTTTTGTGGCTTTACACATACCTTAGTTGCAATAACTCCTCTTGCCCTGGTAGGAGGTCTGAAGTTCAAATGCTCCTCCACAAATTATTAACTATTAAAAGAAGATGCAAATATTTGGGATCTGCTTAAAAAAATTGTGTTCAAAATGATGCTCAAGTCAAATTTAATTTAACAAGTATTCTAGATTATAGTTTCTGATTTTTATAAGGTTATTATACTTGTTTCATACTTAGGATGGTGTTTTACGTTGTACTTAGGGGATTCTTATTATATTATGTCGAGACCTTGTGGTATATGCCAAACAGGATAAAAATTTTGCTTGGTAGTCTCAATTTGCTTTCGTTATATCTTTTGTAAGTTCATATTCTTGTGATGTTATTACTGAAAGGATTAAATGTTCCTTGCAGGCATATTGAAATTTGAGATTGTGGCTTTTTAAATGATAGGAAGGCGGCACCTGGGATTTCTGTTGGGTTAAGGATGGAGAATTGCATGTTACCGTACCAGAATTTATTTGTTGATTATATAGCTTTTTATATTGATCTTATTGATTTGATGGTGAAATGGAATGGGATGATATAGTGACAGGCCATGCAACAATTAAGTAATAGTTTTTGTGATTGATCCATTGTCCCATTTCTATGTTGGTGTTTCTTTCTCTGAAACTCTTGGCTTGAAACTGGTGATTACTTCAATTTTGAACCTTTTCTTTCTGCATTGTGATAATTATTGGATTTTGAAGTGCAAATGCTATCTAAAGTTGTTTGATTCTCCTTTGAACTCACTGGCTGAAGAAGAGGATGACACATCAAAGACTCCTTCTCAGAAAAAGAAAATGAAGAAGCAGAGGAAGGTGGAACGAGCTAAGAAAGTATATCAGCTTGTTTTGGTGATTCTTGGCTAACACTCTCTTTGATGATTTCATTCTGATGCCGTGTATTATTTTAAGAGGCAGAGGAGAAAAATGAAGAATCAAGTTCTAGTGGCATCTCTAAGTGTGGGAAACGACATGTTAAACCTGTAGATCCTTATCCTTTTGGAGAAAAATTATTGAAGGTTACCTATTATTATCTTTTCCCTGTGCTTTAGATTCCTGATTAAAGTCCTCGTGCTGTAAAAATGTGTTACGCTAATGCCTATTAAGCTAAGACTGTTTAATCTGTATTTTTTTTTTCAGACAGAGTATCCCTTGTCAGAAGCAACGAAGTACTTGAAGTTGCTTCAGAAGAACTCACCTGATTCTTTGGAGACGCACTTACTTTCTGTTGAAGTAAATATGAGAAAGCAGAAGATTTTGCTTGCCTTTCAGGTATTATATTTTCCTAGAATTGAACATGAGATGTGTTTCTTGTTCTTTTTGTGTTTGGTCAACTAGAACTGATATTTAATTGTCAGCTAGTGATTTGTGAGGAAGCCCCTTCTCTTGTTTTCTCCTCTCTTTTTTCACTTTCTGCCTGTGGATATGTTCTTGAAATAAAGAAACTGTACCGTTTAACCAAACATCCTTTTCTTATTGCTCTACTCACTCAATGAATTTATGTGTGAATTAGATAGTTTGCACGACATATCTTTGAGTTGTAGAACAATGGTTTTGTGCAGTAGTACTTTTACTATTTCATGAGCTCATATTAGTACGTTTGTCTTGGTTTTATTTTGTTTTCCTGAAGGCTGTAAAGCAACTGCGAAGGCTGTAAAGCAACTGCTAAGGCTGGATGCTGAGAATCCAGATTCATGTAACATCTGCCCTACCATATTTGTGCACTGCCATGCACAACTGCATTCTTTTCTGTTCTTAGATACAAAGATCATGTAATCTTTACAATGCTTATTTGAATTTAATCTAATGCAGATTAAATTTTTCCATAAATTGGGCTCAATGCCTGCTCCATTAACTGATGCTGAAAAACTTGTTTGGAGTGTCTTAGAAGCTGAGCGTCCATCCATCAGGTTCTCTTTGAAATGGTTTTATGATAGCTATTCCCCCTACTAGAATTTTGTTGTGTTACTGTTACTATTATTATTTTGATCCCTGATGCATTAAATCCCTTTATTTTCTCTTTCTGCAGTCAATTGCAGGAGAAAACTCTTAGTGAGGCGAACAAAGTTTTCCTTGGTAAACATGAAGGTATTACGACCTTTACATAACATGATGCATTTTAGGTTCCTTGAGGTAGGTTGTATAATCATGCAAATTTCACTTTTTGGTTCTGCAGAATCTTTGATGCATATAGTGGCAGTTGCAGAAATGTTATATACCTTGGAGCAGACCAAGAAACTTGAGGCTGTTAAGTAGAGAATTAGTTGGTGGAGGACAAATTGGAATGTGTGAGGAATTTGGAGACCTTATGAAGGTTTGATTTCTACCATCTTAATTTTATTTAAATTTTTTTACTTCAAATAATGCCCGATTTGATTTTTTTCTATTTTTTTCTGATGATAAAATGTGTTCTCGTTATAGACTGTAGATAATGATATTGCTAGTGTAAGCTGTTTTATTATGTCTTAGCTGTTAGTCATATTAATTTGATTTTCTGTTTGGTATTTTTTTTTAATAAGCTCCAAATGGTACCTTGGGATGTTCTGTTCATTATATTTACTCTGGATTTCTTCTCTCTCTTATTTATAGAATCACATGATGCAAATCCAACGAAAACCTTACTTTTTTGTAGAGCTATCAAGCTTTCTCCCCTTTTCTAGAGAGAGGAGGGGCGGCTATTTTTACAAATACTCTTGTAGGGATCTTGTTTTTCTTGATGGCTTGATAAGAAATTATGTGACAAAAATCTAGTGATGTGGTTCTACAATAGACACAGTCCATTCGATGGCTTGTGATATTCTTAAATAATCTAGAAATAGATAGTTGTGGTATTATGCTGAAATACTTCATTGATGTCTTGATGTGACAATAGTAAGAACTCTAGGTGGTTAAAATTATGCTTTCATATGCTTCACCCCTAGAGAGTTGACATGGTGGCTAATTCTTTTATTAGTGGCTATCTTTATCTCATTCTTTTAGTTAAACTGACTTTCCTATATAAAAACCTTTTGACGATGGGCCAGGTTATGGCATGATTGAAATAAAGTGTCAAACTCTAGAGCTTTTGGAATTTGACTCATGCAGTGAGGATGTATTTAAATTGTTTTCTTCCTGTAACCCACATTTGTTATGTATTCATTCATGAGAATTGTAATTATTGCTGTTACAATGTGCATCATTATTGCCAATAAATGCTACTTCCTTTATGATGTGTGATGAATGTTCTAGGACTTATATTAAAACTTTGTTTTCTCAATTTTTAGAGGATACCACTTGATTTACTGCAAGGAAACAAATTTCGTAAAGCGGCAATTGATTGCATTAAGCCTCTTCTAGCCTTTATATCCAGGTGAGATTTTTTTTTTTTTTGTATTAGTTTGACTGGTGTTTTTTAGTTTGACTGGCTATTGTTTCTTGATCTTTTTGTTGAAGTTCTTGGAATTTTCTTGAAGCTGGGTCTATGTGTATATTATTTACTTCTCTTTGGTGACAGAGTCGGATACTGAAACATGTTGGTGATTTGGTAGCTGTGGCTTCATTGACAGATGAAGCTAGGTGTATGGATCTTGCAGATCGCTATGTAAACAGTTAATCTGTGAAGCGAATGTTGCAGTCTGATCAGGTTCTAAGGCTTCCCCACTTCATCTTTTGTCATAGTTAATATTTGTCACTAAATTTCTTTCGGTATTATTGTACTGTTCACAAGCTTTTTCTACTTTTGAAGGTGGCTTTGGCAGGAAAAACTGCTGTTTTGTTCACGAAAGATGGGGGCCAGCACAACAACCTTCATGACATGCAGTGCATGTGGTATGTTTTTGTTTATTACCTTCCACATGTTGTTGTCTCTAATTATAATTTGGGTACACCTACTGAGTGTTATCCATCTTTTGAAGGTATGAACTTGCTTCTGATGAAAGTTACTTTCGACATGGTGATTTTGGACGGGCCCTAGAGAAATTTATAGCTGTGGAGAAGCACTATGCTGATATTACTGAAGATCAATTTGATTTCCATTCTTATTGTTTGCGGAAAATGGCACCACGTGCATATGTTGGAAAGCTAAAATTTAAAGATTGGTTGCATTCACATGCTTATTTTCACAAAGTAGCAGCTGGAGCCATTAGGTGAACATTTTTGTTAGGATCTGCAGCCTTTTCAATGATTTGCAATAGACTTATTCTGTTTGGTTGTGGCCTGTACTTGTAAAATGCTATGCAAGCTCTGTTGTCTACTTGTCTGGGTGCTTTTAGCCTCTGTCACCTATTGTTGATCAACACATGCATGTGATGCTTCCTTTTGGGTTAGATTCCTCTTTGCCTCCCTCTTTTTCCCTTTGTCTTTTGGGGAATGGGGATTATTGCATACATATATGTTGCATTAATCATATGTTGCAATGATGTGTTGTCTGAACCTTGCTTTCAAAGCATGAAAAACTTCCTAAAGGTAACTGTTGTTCATTACTTACCCTTGTACAACTATTCATTTGTTAATAATTAGACACTCCCATTATGATATCCAATCTAATTGAAGACTCTTCTAGCAGCCCGTCCATTAATAGGAGAGGGGATATCATATCAAGATTTCTGATTCCCCTCTCCTACTCTAACTTTTCCTTGAATCCTAGATGAAAGGATTTACAACATTTTTGAAGACAAAACCTTGCTAAGTTTATAATCAAGAAAGTATCAAGAGTCCTTTTCTTGCACTTGTTTTTGCTAGAGAAAATTTTTTGAGTCATATGAGCAAAGCAGAATATAGGGTTCCAAGTTTTTTGTTGATCAAGCAACAACCTGATTTGAAACGGGGAATAAGGGATTTGCAATCCCCCGCCTTACTGGTTAGCCATGTCACCAAAGGTTAGAAACCAAAAAGAATGAGTGTATCCCCTTTATAACTTTAGTTATAGATTGGATCCATACCTTCAATTAGTTATAGTATCTCAAGTAAAAAAATTAGTATTGTTCTTTTTTTCTTTCAATAAAAAAAATTCTTAATTTGATTTATATTATAATGTAATAATATAACAACAATTATGAGTTTAGGTAAATCCTATAACGAAAGTTATTGCACGGCAACAAAAAGTTCAACCCAACAATGAAAAGCAGCTTGAGGTTTTTGTTCTTTTCATGCTTATGCCATTATGAAAAATTTTATCTTTACGAGTACCCATTTGCATTTTCATTGATTTATGATTTGGGTGAGTGTTTTTTGATTTCATTTTGTGTCTCTTGTCATCTATTGTCTTGCTTATAAGTACTCCAGTTTAAGGGTACCCATTTGCCTGTACTGCTAGTTCATACATTTGAAGATTTTATCTTGGTTAATGAGGATGTCAAATAATTTGATAGAATTTCAAGCTGTTGCTATTGGAAATTACCTTCTGCAGATGTTTAGCTCAGAAATCAGATTGATTTAGTTAGATATATGAGGGTTGATTAGGAGATACTGTCTGGTGTAATATAAAAGATTTTGGTTGAGGGGCTCAAATGAGCAAGTTCAAGTCCTGAAAGTAGCCTCATTGTGTAAAAAATGCTGAATCCTAAAGGCTAGGAACATTTTTCAAATGACTCTTCTTGGTTTCTCATCCTTCATTGGTAGGATTGAGGCTGAGTAATGATCCTCTTTATGAGGGAAGATTATACAAAAGGCTGTTTAGAAAGCTTTCTCCAAATTGCTATAAAAACCAACCATCATAGCAAAACGGCAGTGTCTGTGTTTCTTCATTTTTGGGTTCTTCCACACACTGAAATAACCTTTGCATATCAACAGGAGCTGACCTCAACCTCTGGACCTTGTGATCCTTTATGTTGAGTTGATGAAGCTAGCTCGTTAGATTTCGAAGTTACTTACCAGCCAAAGACTAATTTGTTGAAAACTATTGGTGTTTTCACAGCAGCTTTAACAGGGACTGTGGCAATTAACCTATCATGGGTTACCAACATCCAGGTTTATCTTTAATTTCTTGTGCAATCCTTTCTTTGTAGGTTGTAATCATTTTTTCATCTTTGGCCAATATTTTGTATATTCTCGTATTATCCACAGAAGCCTTTCTTAATTTGATCTAATTTCATAATGCATATTTCTATGGCATTGCTTTTTGTAATAGGATATGCAGGCATTATCTTTGAAGAATTTCTAGCCTTCAATAAAAGTGGAATAGACTGTTGATGGCTGTGAGTTTATGGGTGGTAAGGAGCATAGGGGTAAGAATGATTCTCAGATGTTTAGGATTGGACTGTGTTTTTCTGCTGTTCCTCTTCTTGTAGTTTGCATCATATTTATCATTCTCATAAATTGGGATGAAAACACAAAATTCTGTTGCGTATTGGATGCTTTATTCAGTACTATGTCAGGTTTCAACCTGTTTCTCTCATGTTCATTGGTGGTGGCCTCATGACCCGGTATTCATTCAAGAGTTAATGAAATACAGGATGCTTGGGCTCTAAACTTATTTCCTGATCTACTAGTTTTATTGGTCTATGTTTTTCGGTGAGCAATGGCTTGTCTTTTTATGAAGTGATCATTGCAATTTAATATCCTTTATTTTTAATTTATGTTGGAGACCACTTCCCATTTAAAGGAAGGAGCATCTCCAATTTAAATCAATTCCAAGGAACTACCCTAGCAATGAATTAAGATAGCAAAACTAGGTACCTACCCCCATGGTCAAGTGGGAGAGCCAAAGTTTGTGTTTGTGTGTGGCTTGTTACCATCACTAGGAATTCTGAAAATGGTCACTATGACTATCTCCCTTTATTAATGAAATTCTATGGTCTACTTATGCTGATGCATCTGACTTCTGTATGGAAAACTTTTTTTTTTATCATTTTCTTATTTATTTCCGCCTTTATCTGTTAATACTTGTGTAATAATGCTTGGGCCATTCACATTTGTAGGCTCCTTCAATTGATTTAGCGTTTCAGAGCTGAAACATGCATCTGCTGAATCGTTTTTTCTTGCTTGGTGCAATGACCATTGTAGAGATAGTTGATGCCCCTCAAGGATATGAGCTGGTTACTGACAATATAACCACTCTAAAGTCATGGACTCTACTTTGGGTGGTGAGTTGATTTCTTTCGACTATAGTCATACTGACAATTTTATCATTAATGGTTAATATATGAATCTAATTGAGAGTTCAGTTGCGCGGTGAAGCATACCCTGTGGCCTAATTTACCCGCCGATCGTGAAATTTGTCTAGTGGGTATAAACCAATGATGTAGATGATTACAACTGATAAGATGGATTCAGAAGAATCTTAAATGTGCATACTTATGTGTCATAGCTAAAGTTATTAACCTGCCGAAGAAAATTGGAGAAAGGATAAAAAAAAAATGCAAAAGTTATGTTAAAGTATTCATTAGTTGCTTTTCATGATTCAAGTCCAATCTCACCTCTTGGAAATTAAAAAATTAAGCTCTTAAAATTTTTAAATCTTGACCCATTCATGTCCCAAACCAGTGCACTAGAAGAGCCTTTGTAGTTAATTTTCAATTATAAGATAAAGATTTGATGTTGCAACTTAATCAAAAAGACCTTAATTATGTCTTACCTTGAAGAATAAAGCAGACGATGGCCTTTAGTATTTGCCCTAAGCCTTATTTGTAAATATTCTTGTTTGATTAAAATCTCTTTTAGCATTTGCCAATCAATAGGTGTTAGTATTTTGGATTTTTTTGATGGTATAGGATTTTTGTAATTATCATTGAGAAACTACTTTTTTAGGAAGATCAATTATCATTTAATGTTTTGCTCATAGAAATCTATTAATTTTTGCATTAATGATACTAAAATGGAGAGAGGTTATCTAGGTGAGTACAAATACCAATATTTTCATCATGTTTATTTATGGCATTGGTTGTAAAGTAGTGGGATATTCACAGAACAAATGTAATTTTTTTAATGGATTTTTTTTTTTGGTTCCAAAGGAACTTATAGAGGCGACTGCTTTGCGATACCATATGTTGAATGATATGCCACTTCAAAAGAAAGCTTACCTCTTTTCATATTGTATTATCTAAAACTCTAAATATGTGTCTTTTTTCGTCTTTCATTAGATGTGTGTTCTCATTGAGTTTTTCTTATGTTATGTTATGATTATTCATTGAGAAAGTAAGTTAATGTTGTCTTAAGGTTAGGGTTAGTCTTTAACAGTATAAGGAATGAGTTGGTAATGAATGTGGTTAGCTGTTGCTTTATTCATTTCTTATTGCCTTACTTTTACTTTATTTGCTAGCTGTCCTTGTCTTCATTTTGTTTACTTGCTGCATTGGTTTTGATCAGTTTTGGCTTGCTTTTTTTGTAGTTGTTGCATGGCCCCCAAGTTCTTCTATTTTTATTTCTCAAATAGCATTGTTATAGTTATACTTGGGGGAAACACTAAAATTATCCTATGGCATGACAATTGTGTTTAACTTAACTAGTATGTAATTGTTATATGACACGTTGAATGGAAACAATAATATCCCTAAGCATCTCTATAGATGTCTTTTCTTGTTGAGATTTTGTTTTCTTGTTCGGTTTTGGTCCACTAAGATTATTTGGTTCCATGACAATTGCATTTGGCTCTTTGAAATGGAAACATAATATTCCTAAGCATTTCTGTCGATATCTTTTCTCATTAAGATTTTGTTATATCAGATTCTTCTTGTTTCATTTTTTCATTTTTTGTGTACATGAGTTGAGTTTTGTAATTTTGCTTTTGAAAAAATCTTTTGATTGTGGTTTCGTAAGTATGATTGTTATTTGGTAGTCTCTATGGAGCTCAATGGATTGTGTGCTTGCAAGCTTGCAAAGATGGGAAGAATTAGAGATTCAAGTTTGTATAACTGTTGCATGTTAGGAGTTAGTTATTTTTTGTTGGTTCAACTTTATTGCTTGATGGACTAATTTCTTAGATTTAATTTCTGAAACTAAGTTCCACCAAACCCAAAGGTTGAGTGTTAAAAGGAAGATTCCTTGCCTCTTTTGTTATTGGAGTTAGTTATCATCTTTGGCCATTCATAGTTTTCGTTTTTTTCTCATTGAGGCTTTGTTATGTCATGTTTTGATTTTTCTTGTGACACGTTTATCTATATTAGTTTAGTTTTTGAAATTTAACTTTTTGAAAAACCCTTAGTTGTGGCTTTTTAAGTGTGGATATTATTTAGTAGTTGTCTGCTCTAAGCGAATGGCTTGCATGATAAGGAGGAATTCAATTTCTGTGCCTCTTGTGTATGTATATTTTGTAAGTTTCTTGTTTTGTTTGTTACAATCTCTTTGTTGTAGGATAGAATAGTTTCTTTCTTTTAATTTCTGAAACTTAATTTTGACGAGGATAGAAAATGCTTCTTAAAAAGAATATTATCTGTATGGGCTGTGTGCTCTAAGCAAATGGCTTGCAGTATAAGGTCAATTCAATTTTTGGGCATCTTGTGTGTGTAGGCGTCTTTTGAGAATTTTTTGTTGTGTTGGTTTCACTCTGTTTGTTAGGTTAAATTTTTAAAACTTAATTTTGACATGCATTGGGCTTGAATGCTTAAAAGGAAGATTATTTTTTTTTGTTGGATTCTTTTAAACTTTAAATATATGTTGTCATAGGCTCTCAGTTGGTATCTTTCTCGTTGAGATTGTGTCTTGATTCTTCTTGTTTCATTTTTAAACTTTTACATAAATTAGGGCTTTGTAACTTTACTTTGAAAAATTTCTTGGGTTCTTCTTCCTTTAGTGTGGTTCCTGATTCGTTGGTCTCTGTGAAACTTATGCGCTATGTGCTCCAAGAACCACTTGCAGTGTAGGGAGAATTAAGGATTCTAAAGTTGTATGTGTGTAGGATTTAAGGATTAAAAATTTGTGTGGTTGTGTATGGGAGTTTCCTTGTTTTTCTCTTTGTGTGCTCTAAGCTAATGGCTCGCATGATTAGCTGAATTCAATTTCTGTGCCTGATGTGTGTAGGTGTATTTTGAGAGTTTTTTGTTTTGTTGATTTCACTCTATTTGTTACAAAACAGGTTGATTTGTTGGGTTAAATTTCTGAAACTTAATTTTGACATGCATCGTGGTCAAATGTTTAAAAGGAAGATTATTTCCTTTTGCTGGATTCTTTGAAACTCTCAATATGTGTATGGGAGTTTCCTTGTTTTGTAGTGTAGGGGAAATTAATGATTCTAAATTTTTATGGTTGTGTAGCATTTAAAGATTAAAAATTTATGTGACTGAGTATGAGAGTTTTTCTGTTGTTTTTCTCCTTGTGTGCTTCAAGCATTGAATTCAATTTCTGTGCCTCTTGTGTGTGTAGGTATGTGTTTAGGGAGGTTTTTATTTTGTTGGTTTCACTCTATTTGTTACAGGGCAGATTGGTTTGCTAGGTTCAATTTCTGTAATTTAATTTTGACATGCATTGTGGTTGAATGCTTGAAAGGAAGAATATTTCTTTTTGTTGGATTCTATGAAACTCTAAATATATGTTGTCATAGGCTCTCGGTGTCTTTCTCATTGAGATTGTCTCTGGATTCTTCTTGTGTCATTTTTAAATTTTTACATAAATTAAGGCTTTGTAACTTTACTTTGAAAAATTTCTTGGGTTGTTCTTCCTTTAGTGTGGTTTGTGATTCGTTGGTCTCTATGAAACGTATGCGCTATGTGCTCCAAGAACGACTTGCATTGTAAGGGAAATTAAGGATTCTAAAGTTGTATGTGTGTAGGATTTAAGGATTAAAAATTTGTGTGGCTGTGTATGTGAGTTTCCTTGTTTTTCTCTTTGTGTGCTCTAAGCTAATGGCTTGCATGATTAGCTGAATTCAATTTCTGTGCCTGATGTGTGTAGGTGTATTTTGAGAGTTTTTTGTTTTGTTGATTTCACTCTGTTTGTTACAGAACAGGTTGGTTTGTTGGGTTCAATTTTTGAAACTTAATTTTGACATGCATTGTGGTAAAATGTTTAAAAGGAGGATTATTTTCTTTTGCTGGATTCTTTGAAACTCTAAATATGTGTATGGGAGTTTCCTTGTTGTTTTGTAGTGTAAGGAGAATTAGGGATTCTAAATTTTTATGGTTGTGTTGCATTTAAAGATTAAAAATTTATGTGGCTGTGTATAAGATTTTTCTTGTTGTTTTTTTCCATGTGTGCTTCAAGCAGCGAATTCAATTTCTGTGCCTCTTGTGTGTGTAGGTATGTGTTTAGAGAGGTTTTTATTTTGTTGGTTTCACTTTATTTGTTACAAGGCAGATTGGTTTGCTAGGTTCAATTTCTGTAATTTAATTGACATGCATTGTGGTTGAATGCTTAAAAGGAAGATTATTTTCTTTTGCTGGATTCTTTGAAACTCTAAATATATGTTGTCATAGGCTCTCAGTTGGTGTCTTTCTCATTGAGATTGTGTCTTGATTCTTCTTGTTTCATTTTTAAACTTACATAAATTAGGGCTTTGTAACTTTACTTTGAAAAATTCCTTGGGTTGTATTTTAGTGTGGTTTGTGATTCTTTAGTCTCTATGAAACTTATGCGCTATGTGCTCTATGTGCTCCAAGAATGACTTGTAGTATATGGAGAATTAAGGATTCTAAAGTTGTATGTGTATAGGATTTAAGGATTAAAAATTTGTGTGACTGTGTATAGGAGTTTTCTTGTTTTTCTCGTTGTGTGCTCTAAGTTAATGGGTTGCATGATTAGTTGAATTCAATTTCTGTGCCTGATGTGTGTGTAGGTGTATTTTGAGAGTTTTTTGTTTTGTTGATTTCACTCTGTTACAGAACAGGTTGTTTGTTGGGTTCAATTTTTGAAATTTAATTTTGACATGCATTGTGGTAAAATGTTTAAAAGGAAGATTATTTTCTTTTGTTGGATTCTTTGGAACTCTCAATATGTGTATGGGAGTTTCCTTGTTTTGTAGTGTAGGGGGAATTAATGATTCTAAATTTCTATGGTTGTGTAGCATTTAAGGATTAAAAATTTATGTGACTATGTGTATGGGAGTTTTCCTGTTTTTCTCCTTGTGTGTTTCAAGCAGTAAATTTAATTTCTGTGCCTCTTGTGTGTGTAGGTATGTGTTTAGGGAAGATTTTATTTTGTTGGTTTCACTCTATTTGTTACAGAGCAGATTGGTTTGTTAGGTTCAATTTATGTAATTTAATTTTGATATGCATTGTGATTGAATGCTTAAAAGGAAGATTATTTCCTTTTGCTGAATTCTTTGGAACTCTAAATATGTGTATAGGAGTTTCCTTGTTTTGTAGTGTAGGGAGAATTAAGGATTCTAAATTTCTATGGTTGTGTAGCATTTAAGGATTAAAAATTTATGTGGCTATGTGTATGGGAGTTTCCCTGTTGTTTTTCTCTTTGTGTGTTTCAAGCAGTGAATTTAATTTTTGTGCCTCTTGTGTGTGTAGGTATGTGTTTAGGGAGGGTTTTATTTTGTTGGTTTCACTCTATTTGTTACAGGGCAGATTGATTTGTTAGGTTCAATTTATGTAATTTAATTTTGACATGCATTGTGATTGAATGCTTAAAAGGAAGATTATTTTCTTTTGCTGAATTTTTTGAAACTCTAATTATATGTTGTTATAGGCTCTCAGTTGGTGTCTTTCTTATTGAGATTGTCTTTGGATTCTTCTTGTGTCATTTTTAAACTTTTACATAAATTAGGGTTTTGTAATTTTACTTTGAAAAATTTCCTTGGGTTGTGATGTGATGGTCTGTTTGAAACTTGATGCGCTGTGTGGTCCAAGAATGACTTGCAGGGGAATTATGAATTCTAAATTTGTATGACTGTGTGTAAGATTTAAGGATTAAAAATGTGTGGCTCTGTGTATGAGAGTTTTCTTCTTGTTTTTCTCTCTATGGCATGACAGATGAGGTTCTTAGGTTTCACTGGCTTGGCTTTTTTAGTTATTGATGATGTTAAACTTTTTATTGTGGTTGCATCTAATTTGATGAAGTTGTTTGATAATGCATTAGGAGAATGTTACTGCAAAAAAAATTCCTGGGTTGTGGTTTTTTCATTCATGAGTGTGCCTAGTTATCATCTGTTTGTCTCTTTGAAGCTTAATGGGCTATGTGCTCCAAGCATACCTTGTAGGATAGAAGGAATTAAAGTTTCAAAATTTTTATGTCTGTGTTTGTTGGTTTTATTCTGCAAGTTGGCTTCTAGATTTCATTCCTATAGCTTCTGGATAATGTCTAATTTTTTGTTGTAGTGCTTTTGACTTGCCGGAGTTTGATTTGAACTTCAATTAATATTTGATCTCTTATGCTTTAACATTCCATTTAAATTTTAGTTTTATTTTTTGTGTACAGATTGTAGTTTTGTAAACTTTTCTTAATTGTGGTTGCATTTAGTAGTCTATACGAAAATTAGTTAATCGTGTACTTCGAACACGATTTGCTAGAGAGAGGAATTAAAAATTGTATAGCAGTGTACTCCAAATTTGTATGGTTGAGTTTTCTATTTTTTTATTTTGTTAGTTCAACTCTGTTGCATGACAAATTGTAATCTTAAGTTTAATTTCAAAAACTTAATCCAACCTCGCACTGAGGATGAGTGCTTACAATGAAGAGTACCTCTTTTTTCTTGTGTTGTGTTTGAATAAAATAATAAGCAATAAAAAAAATAATCGAAATTGTATTAAATAAAAAATAAATATTATATAATATAATTTTGTTAATTACATAAATTACACGATAAATAAAAATAAATTTTAAGATAAAATACAAAAGAATCTTAATTAGATATCTAATTAGTATACATACACATAACACCTTCCATTTTTAATGAAGTCAAAGTCTCATTCAACAATGCTTAATAATAAGGTGATCTGCATTTAAGTTAAACATAAACAACATACCACATATATAAAGAACAATGCTGCATTTAAGTTAAACACAAGCAACATGTCACATGTATAAAGAACAATGCTATTTTAGAAATAAAGACAATCAAACTTGAACTTCATTGCTTAAGCAGAAAGATTCAAGGCAAAGATTGCCTGCAAAATAAACCTAATCACATCCATTGCTCACAAATCAGACATTATAAATGTTTTAATTCGAAAACCCAAAGATACGAAAGTAGAAGTCCTTTAAAAACCTAAAGAGAAATTAAAACTAAAGCAACAAAACCTTAACAAAAAAAGATTATAATGAAAGGCCAAAGATAAGAGGTAGTTTTGCATCTCAACATAAATATACAACAATTATATACCAAAGTTAAAAAATAACAGCCACCAACCACATCATAAGTCAGGATGCTTCCAATAATAACAGTGTTACTTAAGAAAACAAAGTCTATATTATAATCAGAAACACAAAATTTTAGCAACTTTAATTAAACTCTTCATGATCTGAAATGTACTAGAACAACTACAGTTATCATCGAAAGTTACCATACAATACAACAAAAATTCTATGCAAGATCATAGACTTTCAAAGAATCCAATAAGAAAGAGGCAATCTTCCATCTTAGTGCTTAACTAGATTTAAGTTTATGAAATTAATCTTAAGAAAGTAATCAATCATGCAACAAAGTAAAAGTGAAATAAGCAAAACAAGAATCAAACACAACACAAGAAGAAAGAGGTACTCTTCATTGTAAGCACTCATCCTCAGTCTAAGTTTTTGAAATTAAACCTAAGATTACAATTTGTCATGCAACAGGGTTGAACTAGCAAAATAAAAAAATAAAAAATAGAAAACTCAACCATACAAATTTGGAGTACACTGCTATACAATCTTTAATTCCTCTCTCTAGCAATTCGTGTTCGGAGTACACGATCAACTAATTTTCGTATAGACTACTAAATGCAACCACAATTAAGAAAAGTTTACAAAACTACAATCTGTACACAAAAGACAACTAAAATTTAAATGGAATGTTAAAGCATAAAAGATCAAATATTAATTGAAGTTCAGATCAAACTCCAACAAGTCAAAAGCACTACAACAAAAAATTAGACATTAACTAGAAGCTATGGGAATGAAATCTAGAAGCTATGGGAATGAAATTTAGAAGCCAACTTGCAGAATAAAACCAACAAACACACAAAATAAAATCGACAAACACACAGACAGAGAAATTTTGAAACTTTAATTCCTTCTATCCTACAAGGTATGCTTGGAGCACATAGCCCATTAAGCTTCAAAGAGACAAACAGATGACAACTAGACACACTCATGAATGAAGAAACCACAACCCAGGAATTTCTTTTACAGTAACATTCTCCTAATGCATTCTCAAACAACTTCATCAAATTAGATGCAACCACAATAAAAAGTTTGACAACATCATCAATAACTAAAAAAGCCAAGTCAGTGAAACCTAAGAACCTCATCTGTCATGCCACAGAGAGAAAAACAAGAAGAAAACTCCCATACCCACAGAGTCACACAAATTTTTAATCCTTAAATCCTACACACAGCCATACAAATTTAGAATCCATAATTCTCCTGCAAGTCAATCTTAGACCACACAACGCATTAAGTTTCAAACAGACCATCAGATCACAACCACACTAAAAGAAGAACAACCCAAGGGAATTTTTCAAAGTAAAGTTACAAAGCTCTAATTTATGTAAAAATTTAAAAATGACACAAGAAGAATCCAGAAACAATCTCAATAAGAAAGACACCAACTGAGAGCCTATGACAACATATAATTAGAGTTTCAAAGAATCCAGCAAAAGAAAATAATTTTCCTTTTAAGCATTCAACCACAATGCATGTCAAAATTAAATTACAAAAATTGAACCTAGCAAACCAATCTGCCCTGTAACAAATAGAGTGAAACCAACAAAATAAAATCCTCCCTAAACACATACCTACACACACAAGAAGCATAAAAATTGAATTCACTGCTTGAAGCACACAAGGAGAAAAACAACAGGGAAACTCCCATACACAGTCACAAATTTTTAATCTTTAAATGCTACACAACCATAAAAATTTAGAATCCTTAATTCTCCCTACACTACAAAACAATAAGGAAACTCCCATACACATATTTAGAGTTTCGAAAAATCCAGCAAAAGGAAATAATCTTTCTTTTAAACATTTTACCACAATGCATGTCAAAATTAAGTTTCAAAAATTGAACCCAACAAACCAACCTGTTCTGCAACAAAATGAAATCAACAAAACAAAAAACTCTCAAAATACACCTACACACACATCAAGCACAGAAATTGAATTCAACTAATCATGCAAGCCATTAGCTTAGAGCACACAAAGAGAAAAACAAGAAGGAAACTCTCATACACAGCCACACAAATTTTTAATCCTTAAATCTTACACACATACAACTTTAGAATCCTTAATTCCCCCTACATTGCAAGTCGTTCTTGGAGCACATAACGCATAAGTTTCATAGAGACCAACGAATCACAAACCATACTAAAGAAAGTACAACCCAAAGAATTTTCCAAAATAAAGTTACAAAGCCCTAATTTATGTAAAAATTTAAAAATGACACAAAAAGAATCCAGAGACAATCTCAATGAGAAAGCCACCAACTGAGAGCCTATGACAACATATATTTAGAGTTTCAAAGAATCCAGCAAAAGAAAATAATCTTCCTTTTAAGCATTCAACCACAATGCATGTCAAAATTAAATTACAGAAATTGAACCTAACAAACCAATCTACCCTGTAACAAATAGAGTGAAACCAACAAAATAAAAACTTTCCTAAACACATACCTACACACACGAGACACAGAAATTGAATTCAATGCTTGAAGCACACAAGGAGAAAAACAACAGGGAAACTCTCATACACAGTCACATAAATTTTTAATCTTTAAATGCTACACAACCATAGAAATTTAGAATCCTTAATTCCCCCTACACTACAAAACAACAAAGAAACTCTCATACACATATTGAGAGTTTCAAAGAATCCAGCAAAAGAAAATAATCTTCCTTTTAAACATTTGACCACGATGCATGTCAAAATTAAGTTTCAGAAATTGAACCCAACAAACCAACTTGTTCTGTAACAAATAGAGTGAAATCAACAAAACAAAAAACTTCCAAATAATCTTAGTGGACCAAAACCGAACATGAAAAAATCTCAACAAGAAAAGACATCTATAAAGATGCTTAGGGATATTATTGTTTCCATTCAACGTGTCATATAACAATTACATATTAATTGAGTTAAACACAATTGTCATGTCATAGGATAATTTTAGTGTTTCCCCCAAGTATAACTATAACAATGCTATTTGAAAAATAAAAATAGAAGAACTTGAGGGCCATGCAACAACTACAAAAAAAGCAAGCCAAAACTGATCAAAACCAATGCAGCAAGTAAATAAAATGAAGACAAGGACAGCTAGCAAATAAAGTAAAAGTAAGGCAATAAGAAATGAATAAAGCAACAGCTAACCACATTCATTACCAATTCATTTTACTGATTGAACAACCCCAAGCTCACAAATAAAGTATTATAACCTTAACCTAAACTCAAAACCTCCAATATATCCTAAATAAATTAAATCCCAATACAATCCTAAGATAATTATCCATTACTTTCTAGATAGAAGACCTAATACTGTTAAAGACTAACCCTAACCTTAAGATAACATTAACTTACTTTCTCAATGAATAATCATAACATAACATAAGAAAAACTCAATGAGAACACACATCTAATGAAAGACGAAAAAAGACACGTATTTAGAGTTTTAGAGAATACAATATGAAAAGAGGTAAGCTTTTTTTTGAAATGACATATCATTCAACATATAGTATCGCAAAGCAGTAGCCTCTATAAGTTCCTTTGGAACCAAAAAGAAAAATCCATTAAAAAAATTACATTTGTTCTGTGAATATCCCACTACTTTACAACCAATGCCATAAAATAAACATGATGAAAATATTGGTATTTGTACTCACCTAGATAACCTCTCTCCATTTAAGTATCATTAATGCAAAAATTAATAGATTTCTATGAGCAAAACATTAAATGATAATTGATCTTCCTAAAAAAGTAGTTTCTCAATGATAATTACAAAAATCCTATACCATCAAAAAAATCCCAAAATACTAACATCTATTGATTGGAAAATGCTAAAAGAGATTTTAATCAAACAAGAATATTTACAAATAAGGCTTAGGGCAAATACTAAAGGCTATCGTCTGCTTTATTCTTCAAGGTAAGACATAATTAAGATCTTTTTGATTAAATTGCAACATCAAATCTTTATCTTATAATTGAAAATTAACTACAAAGGCTCTTCTAATGCACTGGTTTGGGACATGAATGGGCCAAGATTTAAAAATTTTAAGAGCTTAATATTTTAATTTCCAGGAGGTGAGATTGGACTTGAATCATGAAAAGCAACTAATGAATACTTTAACATAACTTTTGCATTTTTTTTTATCCTTTCTCCAATTTTCTTCGGCAGGTTAATAACTTTAGCCATGACACATAAGTATGCACATTTAAGATTCTTCTGAATCAATCTTATCAGTTGTAATCATCTACATCATTGGTTTATACCCACTAGACAAATTTCACGGTCGACGGGTAAATTAGGCCACAGGGTATGCTTCACCGTGCAACTGAACTCTCAATTAGATTCATATATTAACCATTAATGATAAAATTGTCAGTATGACTATAGCCGAAAGAAATCAACTCACCACCCAAAACAGAGTCTGTGGCTTTAGAGTGATTATATTGTCAGTAACCAGCTCAAATCCTTGAGGGGCATCAACTATCTCTAAAATGACCATTGCACCAAGCAAGAAAAAACGATTCAGCAGATGCATGTTTCAGCTCTGAAACAGCTAAATCAGTTGAAGGAGCCTATAAATGTGAATGGCCCAAGCATTATTACACAAGTATTAACAGATAAAAGCGAAAATAAATAAGAAAATGATAAAAAAAAAAGTTTTCCATACAGAAGTCAGATGCATCAGCATAAGTAGACCATAGAATTTCATTAATAAAGGGAGATAGTCATAGTAACCATTTGCAGAATTCCTAGTGATGGTAACAAGCCACACACAAACACAAACTTTGGCTCTCCCAATTGACCATGGGGGTAGGTACCTAGTTTTGCTATCTTAATTCATTGCTAGGGTAGTTCCTTGGAATTGGTTTAAATTGGAGATGCTCCTTCCTTTAAATGGGAAGTGGGCTCCAACATAAATTAAAAATAAAAGATATTAAATTGCAATGATCACTTCATAAAAAGACAAGCCATTGCTCACCGAAAAACATAGACCAATAAAACTAGTAGATCAGGAAATAAGTTTAGAGCCCAAGCATCTTGTATTTCATTAACTCTTGAATGAATATCGGGTCATGAGGCCACCACCAATGAACATGAGAGAAACAGGTTGAAACCTGACATAGTACTGAATAAAGCATCCAATACGCAACAGAATTTTGTGTTTTCATCCCAATTTATGAGAATGATAAATATGATGCAAACTACAAGAAGAGGGACAACAGAAAAACACAGTCCAATCCTAAACATCTGAGAATCATTCTTACCCCTATGCTCTTTACCACCCATAAACTCACAGCCATCAACAATCTATTCCACTTTTATTGAAGGCTAGAAATTCTTCAAAGATAATGCCTGCATATCCTATTACAAAAAGCAATGCCATAGAAATATGCATTATGAAATTAGATCAAGTTAAGAAAGGCTTCTGTGGATAATACAAGAATATACAAAATATTGGCCAAGATGAAAAAATGATTACAACCTACAAAGAAAGGATTGCACAAGAAATTAAAGATAAACCTGGATGTTGGTAACCCATGATAGGTTAATTGCCACAGTCCCTGTTAAAGCTGCTGTGAAAACACCAATAGTTTTCAACAAATTAGTCTTTGGCTGGTAAGTAACTTCGAAATCTAACGAGCTAGCTTCATCAACTCAACATAAAGGATCACAAGGTCCAGAGGTTGAGGTCAGCTCCTGTTGATATGCAAAGGTTATTTCAGTGTGTGGAAGAACCCAAAAATGAAGAAACACAGACACTGCCGTTTTGCTATGATGGTTGGTTTTTATAGCAATTTGGAGAAAGCTTTCTAAACAGCCTTTTGTATAATCTTCCCTCATAAAGAGGATCATTACTCAGCCTCAATCCTACCAATGAAGGATGAGAAACCAAGAAGAGTCATTTGAAAAATGTTCCTAGCCTTTAGGATTCAGCATTTTTTACACAATGAGGCTACTTTCAGGACTTGAACTTGCTCATTTGAGCCCCTCAACCAAAATCTTTTATATTACACCAGACAGTATCTCCTAATCAACCTCATATATCTAACTAAATCAATCTGATTCTTGAGCTAAACATCTGCAGAAGGTAATTTCCAATAGCAACAGCTTGAAATTCTATCAAATTATTTGACATCCTCATTAACCAAGATAAAATCTTCAAATGTCATGAACTACAGTACAGGCAAATGGGTACCCTTAAACTGGAGTACTTTAAGCAAGACAATAGATGACGAACACAAAATGAAATAAAAACACACTCACCCAATCATAAATCAATGAAAATGCAAATGGGTACTCGTAAAGATAAAATTTTTCAATAATGGCATAGGGATGAAGAATAAAAACCTCAAGCTGCTTTTCATTGTTGGGTTGAAACTTTTTGTTGCCATGCAATAACTTTCGTTATGGGGTTTACCTAGACTCATAACTGTTGTTATATTATTGCATTATAATATAAATCAATTAAGAAATTTTTTTTATTGAAAGAAAAAAGAACAAACTAATTTTTTTACTTGAGATACTATAACTAATTGAAGGTATGGATCCAATCTATAACTAAAGTTATAAAGGGGATACACTCATTCTTTTTGGTTTCTAACCTTTGGTGACATGGCTAACCAGTAAGGCGGGGGATTGCAAATCCCTTATTCCCCGGTTCAAATCAGGTTGTTGCTTGATCAACAAAAAACTTGGAACCCTATATTCTGCTTTGCTCATATGACTCAAAAAATTCTCTACCAAAAACAAGTGCAAGAAAAGGACTCTTGATACTTTCTTGATTATAAACTTAGCAAGGTTTTGTCTTCAAAAATGTTGTAAATCCTTACGTCTAGGATTCAAGGAAAAGTTAGAGTAGGAGAGGGGAATCAAAAATCTTGATATGATATCCCCTCTCCTATTAATGGAGGGGCTGCTAGAAGAGTCTTCAATTAGATTGGATATCATAATGGGAGTGTCTAATTATTAACAAATGAATAGTTGTACAAGGGTAAGTAATGAACAACAGTTACCTTTAAGAAGTTTTTCATGCTTTGAAAGCAAGGTTCAGACAACACATCATTGCAACATATGATTAATGCAACATATATGTATGCAATAATCCCACATTCCCCAAAAGACAAAGAGAAAAGGAGGGAGGCAAAGAGGAATCTAACCCAAAAGGAAGCATCACATGCATGTGTTGATCAACAATAGGTGACAGACGCTAAAAGCACCCAGACAAGTAGACAACAGAGCTTGCATAGCATTTTACACGTACAGGCCACAACCAAACAGAATAAGTCTATTGCAAATCATTGAAAAGGCTGCAGATCCTAACAAAAATGTTCACCTAATGGCTCCAGCTGCTACTTTGTGAAAATAAGCATGTGAATGCAACCAATCTTTAAATTTTAGCTTTCCAACATATGCACGTGGTGCCATTTTCCGCAAACAATAAGAATGGAAATCAAATTGATCTTCAGTAATATCAGCATAGTGCTTCTCCACAGCTATAAATTTCTCTAGGGCCCGTCCAAAATCACCATGTCGAAAGTAACTTTCATCAGAAGCAAGTTCATACCTTCAAAAGATGGATAACACTCAGTAGGTGTACCCAAATTATAATTAGAGACAACAACATGTGGAAGGTAATAAACAAAAACATACCACATGCACTGCATGTCATGAAGGTTGTTGTGCTGGCCCCCATCTTTCGTGAACAAAACAGCAGTTTTTCCTGCCAAAGCCACCTTCAAAAGTAGAAAAAGCTTGTGAACAGTACAATAATACCGAAAGAAATTTAGTGACAAATATTAACTATGACAAAAGATGAAGCGGGGAAACCTTAGAACCTGATCAGACTGCAACATTCGCTTCACAGATTAACTGTTTACATAGCGATCTGCAAGATCCATACACCTAGCTTCATCTGTCAATGAAGCCACAGCTACCAAATCACCAACATGTTTCAGTATCCGACTCTGTCACCAAAGAGAAGTAAATAATATACACATAGACCCAGCTTCAAGAAAATTCCAAGAACTTCTCCAAAAGATCAAGAAACAATAGCCAGTCAAACTAAAAAACACCAATCAAACTAATACAAAAAAAAAAAAAACACTCACCTGTATATAAAGGCTAGAAAAGGCTTAATGCAATCAATTGCCGCTTTACGAAATTTGTTTCCTTGCAGTAAATCAAGTGGTATCCTCTAAAAATTGAGAAAACAAAGTTTTAATATAAGTCCTAGAACATTCATCACACATCATAAAGGAAGTAGCATTTATTGGCAATAATGATGCACATTGTAACAGCAATAATTACAATTCTCATGAATGAATACATTACAAATGTGAGTTACAGGAAGAAAACAATTTAAATACATCCTCACTGCATGAGTCAAATTCCAAAAGCTCTAGAGTTTGACACTTTATTTCAATCATGCCATAACCTGGCCCATCGTCAAAAGGTTTTTAAATAGGAAAGTCAGTTTAACTAAAAGAATGAGCTAAAGATAGCCACTAATAAAAGAATTAGCCACCATGTCAACTCTCTAGGGGTGAAGCATATGAAAGCATAATTTTAACCACCTAGAGTTCTTACTATTGTCACATCAAGACATCAATGAAGTATTTCAGCATAATACCACAACTATCTATTTCTAGATTATTTAAGAATATCACAAGCCATCGAATGGACTGTGTCTATTGTAGAACCACATCACTAGATTTTTGTCACATAATTTCTTATCAAGCCATCAAGAAAAACAAGATCCCTACAAGAGTATTTGTAAAAATAGCCGCCCCTCCTCTCTCTAGAAAAGGGGAGAAAGCTTGATAGCTCTACAAAAAAGTAAGGTTTTCGTTGGATTTGCATCATGTGATTCTATAAATAAGAGAGAGAGGAAATCCAGAGTAAATATAATGAACAGAACATCCCAAGGTACCATTTGGAGCTCATTAAAAAAAAATACCAAACAGAAAATCAAATTAATATGACTAACAGCTAAGACATAATAAAACAGTTTACACTAGCAATATCATTATCTACAGTCTATAACGAGAACACATTTTATCATCAGAAAAAAATAGAAAAAAATCAAATCGGGCATTATTTGAAGTAAAAAAATTTAAATAAAATTAAGATGGTAGAAATCAAACCTTCAGAAGGTCTCCAAATTCCTCACACATTCCAATTTGTCCTCCACCAACTAATTCTCTACTTAACAGCCTCAAGTTTCTTGGTCTGCTCCAAGGTATATAACATTTCTGCAACTGCCACTATATGCATCAAAGATTCTGCAGAACCAAAAAGTGAAATTTGCATGATTATACAACCTACCTCAAGGAACCTAAAATGCATCATGTTATGTAAAGGTCGTAATACCTTCCTTCATGTTTACCAAGGAAAACTTTGTTCGCCTCACTAAGAGTTTTCTCCTGCAATTGACTGCGGAAAGAGAAAATAAAGGGATTTAATGCATCAGGGATCAAAATAATAATAGTAACAGTAACACAACAAAATTCTAGTAGGGGGAATAGCTATCATAAAACCATTTCAAAGAGAACCTGATGGATGGACGCTCAGCTTCTAAGACACTCCAAACAAGTTTTTCAGCATCAGTTAATGGAGCAGGCATTGAGCCCAATTTATGGAAAAATTTAATCTGCATTAGATTAAATTCAAATAAGCATTGTAAAGATTACATGATCTTTGTATCTAAGAATAGAAAAGAATGCAGTTGTGCATGGCAGTGCACAAATATGGTAGGGCAGATGTTACATACCAAGCAGCGATGTGAATCTGGATTCTCAGCATCCAGCCTTAGCAGTTGCTTTACAGCCTTCAGGAAAACAAAATAAAACCAAGACAAACGTACTAATATGAGCTCATGAAATAGTAAAAGTACTACTGCACAAAACCATTGTTCTACAACTCAAAGATATGTCGTGCAAACTATCTAATTCACACATAAATTCATTGAGTGAGTAGAGCAATAAGAAAAGGATGTTTGGTTAAACGGTACAGTTTCTTTATTTCAAGAACATATCCACAGGCAGAAAGTGAAAAAAGAGAGGAGAAAACAAGAAAAGGGGCTTCCTCACAAACCACTAGCTGACAATTAAATATCAGTTCTAGTTGACCAAACACAAAAAGAACAAGAAACACATCTCATGTTCAATTCTTGGAAAATATAATACCTGAAAGGCAAGCAAAATCTTCTGCTTTCTCATATTTACTTCAAAAGAAAGTAAGTGCGTCTATAAAAGAATCAGGTGAGTTCTTCTGAAGCAACTTCAAGTACTTCGTTGCTTCTGACAAGGGATACTCTGTCTGAAAAAAAAAAATACAGATTAAACAGTCTTAGCTTAATAGGCATTAGCGTAACACATTTTTACAGCACGAGGACTTTAATCAGGAATCTAAAGCACAGGGAAAAGATAATAATAGGTAACCTTCAATAATTTTTCTCCAAAAGGATAAGGATCTACAGGTTTAACATGTCGTTTCCCAGACTTAGAGATGCCACTAGAACTTGATTCTTCATTTTTCTCCTCTGCCTCTTAAAATAATACACGGCATCAGAATGAAATCATCAAAGAGAGTGTTAGCCAAGAATCACCAAAACAAGCTGATATACTTTCTTAGCTCGTTCCACCTTCCTCTACTTCTTCATTTTCTTTTTCTGAGAAGGAGTTTTTGATGTGTCATCCTCTTCTTCAGCCAGTGAGTTCAAAGGAGAATCAAACAACTTTAGATAGCATTTGCACTTCAAAATCCAATAATTATCACAATGCAGAAAGAAAAGGTTCAAAATTGAAGTAATCACCAGTTTCAAGCCAAGAGTTTCAGAGAAAGAAACACCAACATAGAAATGGGACAATGGATCAATCACAAAAACTATTACTTAATTGTTGCATGGCCTGTCACTATATCATCCCATTCCATTTCACCATCAAATCAATAAAATCAATATAAAAACTATATAATCAACAAATAAATTCTGGTACGGTAACATGCAATTCTCCATCCTTAACCCAACAGAAATCCCAGGCGCCGCCTTCCTATCATTTAAAAAGCCACAATCTCAAATTTCAATATGCCTGCAAGGAACATTTAATCCTTTCAGTAATAACATCACGAGAATATGAACTTACAAAAGATATAACGAAGGCAAATTGAGACTACCAAGCAAAATTTTTATCCTGTTTGGCATATACCACAAGGTCTCGACATAATATAATAAGAATCCCATAAGTACAACGTAAAACACCATCCTAAGTATGAAACAAGTATATAACCTTATAAAAATCAGAAACTATAATCTAGAATACTTGTTAAATTAAATTTGACTTGAGCATCATTTGAACACAAATTTTTTAAGCAGATCCAAATATTTGCATCTTCTTTTAATAGTTAATAATTTGTGGGAGAGCATTTGAACTTCAGACCTCCTACCAGGGCAAGAGGAGTTATTGCAACTAAGGTATGTGTAAAGCCACAAAAAAAAAAAAAAAACTGCTTTATAATATAACATAATTGGCTTATTAATAGCATTTGTTTCTGTATGGTAAGGATAGACATGTATCCACAGTTGAAAATTCGTTAATGGTACATTTTCCTATATATTATGTATTTGGTCCATCAGGTATATAAAACAAAGAGACAGGGCACAAGGATTGTCTTACATAGCATTCTGATACATAATACTAATTTAATCACATACATATCAATTAGATCAACAAATGAATCAACAACAAATGAATCAACAACAGCCTCTTATTTGAACTCTAAAACTCTCTTTTGTATTCCTATACAAATGAAATTGAAAAACAGATTGATTAACATTATTTGAAAAAATCATAAAGTTCATAACGAACTTAAAATCATTGTGCATATCAAAATGACTAGTATTGTAGACATCGATTTTGTCCGGGTCTATTGTTTTAATAATAATAATAATATTTTTAATAAAAAATTTATTAATAAACAAAACAAAAAAAAAACAAACAAAAGAAACAGAATAAGACAGAAATCAGGGAGTTGGTATGGCACCGCTGTCGCCAGCTCCCGACCAGCCTCCCGACCAGCCACCCTACAGCCACCAACCAACTATAAGAATTTAAAAATGAAAATAAGAAATAACAAGAAATTTGTAAAAGAATTAGGAAAAGAATAAAAATGAAAAGATTTATGAAAAAAAAATCGAAGTATAAAAAAAAATGGAAACAAGAAATAAAAAGAATTTTGTGAAAATAAAAATAAAATAAGAAAAAAATATTAAAGCAAAACAAAAAAGATAAATAAAATACAAAAAAATATAAAATATAAAATAAACAAAAATGCGATAAAAAATATAAGAAGTAAGAAAATCAAAAATAAAAAAAAAAAGAGAAAAATGAAATGAAATGAAAAAATACAAAAAAAAAACAAAAAATTGAAAAACATACAAAAAATAATAAAAAAACAATATAAAAAATCAAAGACAAAAAATTAAAAATGAGAAAAGTTAATGCAAATTAAAAATGAAAACAAAAGAAGAAAATGCAACAACAAAAAACTATAAGAATTTAAAAATGAAAATAAGAAATAAAAAGAAATTTGTAAAAGAATTAGGAAAAGAATAAAAATGAAAAGATTTATGAAAAAAAAAGCCAAGTATAAAAAAAAATGGAAACAAGAAATAAAAAGAATTTTGTGAAAAAAATTAGAAAAACAAGAAAAAATAAAAAATGAAGAGACAAAAATATGAAATTAAATAAAAAGATGAAAAAGTTTTCTAGAAATTTTTAAAACAAAGAAAAATGTGAAAGCAAAAAAAAATATGAAAGCACATGAAAAGATAAGTAAAAAAATGAAAAGGGAAAAAGAGTTAATGAAAAATTATAAAAATAAAACAAAAAATAACCAACAACGATAAATAAAAATAAAAAATAAAAAACATGATAAAAATTTATGAAAATAAAAATAAAATAAGAAAAAAATATTAAAGCAAAACAAAAAAGATAAATAAAATACAAAAAATATATATAATATAAAATAAATAAAAATGCGATAAAAAATATAAGAAGTAAGAAAATCAAAAATAAAAAAAAAAGAGAAAAATGAAATGAAATGAAAAACATACAAAAAAAAAACAAAAAATTGAAAAACATACAAAAAATAATAAAAAAACAATATAAAAAATCAAAGACAAAAAATTAAAAATGAGAAAAGTTAATACAAATTAAAAATGAAAACAAAAGAAGAAAATGCAACAACAAAAAACTATAAGAATTTAAAAATGAAAATAAGAAATAAAAAAAAATTTGTAAAGAATTAAGAGAAGAATAAAAATGAAAAGATTTATGAAAAAAAAATCCAAAGAAGTATAAAAAATATGGAAACAAGAAATAAAAAGAATTTTGTGAAAAAAATTAAAAAAACAAGAAAAATAAAAAATGAAGAGGCAAAAATATGAAACAAAATAAAAAGAAAAAAAAGTTTTGTAGATATTTTTAAAACAAAGAAAAATGTGGAAACAAAAAAAAATATGAAAGCACATGAAAAGATAAGTAAAAAAATGAAAAATTTAAAAGGAAAAAGAAGAAAGAGTTAATGAAAAATTATAAAAATAAAAGAAAAAATAACCAACAACGATAAATAAAAAAAAAAGATAGAAAAATTAAAAAAAACATGATAAAAATTTATTAAAATATAAATAAAAAAAGAAAAAAAACAAAAATAAAATAAGAAAAAAATATTAAAGTAAAACAAAAAAGATAAATAAAATACAAAAAAATATAAAATATAAAATAAACAAAAATACGATAAAAAATATAAGAAGTAAGAAAATCAAAAATAAAAAATAAAAAAAGAAAGAATGAAATGAAATGAGAAAATATAAAAAAATACAAAAAATTGAAAAACATATAAAAAATAATAAGAAAACAATATAAAAAATCAAAGCCAAAAAATTAAAAATGAAAACAAAAGAAGAAAATGCAACAAAAAAAAACTATAAGAATTTAAAAATGAAAACAAGAAATAAAAAGAAATTTGTAAAAGAATTAAGAAAAGAATAAAAATGAAAAGACAAAATTTATGAAAAAAAAATCCTAAGAAGTATAAAAATAATGGAAACAAGAAATAAAAAGAATTTTGTGAAAAAAATTAGAAACACAAGAAAAAAGAAAAAATGAAAAGGCAAAAATATGAAACAAAATAAAAAGATAAAATAGTTTTATAGAAATTTTTAAAACAAAGAAAAATGTGAAAACAAAAAAAAAAATATGAAAGCACATGAAAAGATAAGTAAAAAAGTGAAAAATTTAAAAGAAAAAGGAAAAAGAGTTAATGAAAAATTACAAAAATAAAACAAAAAATAACCAACAACGATAAATAAAAAAAAAAGATAGAAAAATAAAAAAATTAAAAACATGATAAAAATTTATGAAAATATAAATAAAGAAAGAGATTAAAATTAAAAATAAAATAAGAAAGAAATATTAAAGCAAAACAAAAAATATAAATAAAATACAAAAAATATAAAATATAAAACAAACAAAAATGCGATAAAAAATATAAGTAAGAAAATCAAAAATTAAAAATTAAAAAAGACAAATGAAATGAAATGAAAAAATAGAAAAAAAATAAAAAAAATGGAAAAACATATAAAAAATAATAAGAAAACAATATAAAAAATCTAAGCCAAAAAACTAAAAATGAAAACAAAAGAAGAAAATGCAACAAAAAAAAACTATTATTTATTTAAAAATGAAAATATGAAATAAAAAGAAATTTGTAAAAGAATTAAGAAAAGAATAAAAATGAAAAGACAAGATTTATGAAAAAAAAAATCCTAGGAAGTATAAAAAAAAATAGAAACAAGAAATAAAAAGAATTTTGTGAAAATTATTAAAAAACCAAGAAAAAATAAAAAATAAAAAAGCAAAAATATATGAAACAAGAAAAAATAAAAAATGAATAGACAAAAATATGAAACAAAATAAAAAGATAAAAAAGTTTTGTAGAAATTTTTAAAACAAAGAAAAATGTGAAAACAAAAAAAATATATGAAAGCACATTAAAAGATAAGTAAAAAAATAAAAAATTTAAAAGAAAAAAAGAAAAAGAGTTAATGAAAAATTATAAAAATAAAATTGAAAATAACCAACGATAAAAAAAAAAAAAAAAAGATAGAAAAATAAATAAATAAAAAACATGTTAAAAATTTATGAAAATATAAATAAAGAAAGAAAATAAAAATAAACCAAAATAAAAAATAAAAATAAAATAAGAAAAAAAATATTAAAGCAAAGCAAAAAAGATAGATAAAATACAATAAAATATAAAATATAAAATAAACAAAAATGCAATAAAAAATATAAGAAGTAAGAAAATCAAAAATAAAAAATAAAATGAAATGAAATGAGAAAATAGAAAAAAATACAAAAAAAATGAAAAACATAAGAAATAATAAGAAAACAATATAAAAAATCAAAGACAAAAAATTAAAAATGAGAAAAGTTAATGCAAAATAAAAATTAAAACAAAAGAAGAAAATGAAATAAAAAAACTATAAGAATTTAAAAATGAATATAAGAAATAAAAAGAAATTTGTTAGATAAAAAAGAAAAGAATAAAAATGAAAAGACAAGATTTATGAGAAAAAAAATCCAAAGAAGTATAAAAAAAATGAAAACAAGAAATAAAAAGAATTTTGTGAAAAAAATTAGAAAAACAAGAAAAAATAAAAAATGAAAAGGCAAAAATATGAAATAAAATAAAAAGATAAAACAGTTTTGTAGAAATTTTTAAAACAAAGAAAAATGTGAAAACAAAAAAATATATAAAACACATGAAAAGATAAGTAAAAAAATGAAAAATTTAAAAGGAAAAAGGAAAAAGAGTTAATGAAAAATTATAAAAATAAAACGAAAAATAACCAATAATGATAAATAAAAAAAAATAGAAAGATAAAAAAAATAAAAAACATGATAAAAATTTATGAAAATATAAATAAAGAAAGAAATAACAAATAAAAATAAAAATAAAATAAGAAAAAAAATATTAAAGCAAAACAAAAAAGATAAATAAAAAAAATATATAAAATATAAAATATAAAATAAAGAAAAATGCGATAAAAATATAAGAAAATCAAAAATACAAAAATACAAAAATGAAATGAAATGGAAAAATTAAAAAAATTAAAAAAATTAAAAAACATATAAAAAAATAATATAAAAATAATATAAAAAATCAAAGACAAAAAAATAAATAAGAGAAAAGTTAATGCCAAATAAAAATGAAAACAAAAGAAGAAAATGCAACAAAAAAAATTATAAGAATTTAAAAATGAAAATAAGAAATAAAAAAAAAATTTGTAAAAAAATTAAGAAAAGAATAAAAATAAAAAGAAAAGATTTATGAAAAATAAAAAATTCAAGGAAGTGTAAAAAAAAATGGAAACAAGAAATAAAAAAAACTGTCAAAAAAATTAGAAAAACAAGAAAAAATAAAAAATGAAGAGGCGAAAATATGAAATAAAATAAAAAGAAAAGTTTTGTAAAAAATTTTAAAACAAAGAAAAAAGTGAAAACAAAAAAAAATGAAAACACATAAAAAAATAAGTAAAAAAAAATTTTAAAAGAAAAAAGTTAATGAAAAACAAAAAAGATTAACAAAAATACAATAAAAATATAAAAAATAAGAAAATCAAAAATAAAAAAAATATATATTAAATAAAATAATTATTATCTCTTAATAAAAGATAAATATTATACAATCCAAAATAATAAATAAAATAATAAGCAATAAAAAAAATAATCGAAATTGTATTAAATAAAAAATAAATATTATATAATATAATTTTGTTAATTACATAAATTACACGATAAATAAAAATAAATTTCAAGATAAAATACAAGAGAATCTTAATTAGATATCTAATTAGTATACATACACATAACACCTTCCATTTTTAATGAAGTCAAAGTCTCATTCAACAATGCTTAATAATAAGGTGATATGCATTTAAGTTAAACATAAACAACATGCCACATATATAAAGAACAATGCTGCATTTAAGTTAAACACAAGCAACATGCCACATGTATAAAGAACAATGCTATTTTAGAAATAAAGACAATCAAACTTGAACTTCATTGCTCAAGCAGAAAGATTCAAGGCAAAGATTGCCTGCAAAATAAACCTAATAACATCCATTGCTCACAAATCAGATATTATAAATGTTTTAACTCGAAAACCCAAAGATACGAAAGTAAAAGGCCTTTAAAAACCTAAAGAGAAATTAAAACTAAAGCAACAAAACCTTAACAAAAAAAGATTATAATGAAAGGCCAAAGATAAGAGGTAGTTTTGCATCTCAACATAAATATACAACAATTATATACCAAAGTTAAAAAACAACAGCCACCAACCACATCATAAGTCAGGATGCTTCCAATAATAACAGTGTTACTTAAGAAAACAAAGTCTATATTATAATCAGAAACACAGAATTTTAGCAACTTTAATCAAACTCTTCATGATCTGAAATGTACTAAAACAAGTACAATTATCATCGAAAGTTACCATACAATACAACAAAAATTCTATGCAAGATCATAGACTTTCAAAGAATCCAATAAGAAAGAGGCAATCTTCCATCTCAATGCTTAACTAGATTTAAGTTTATGAAATTAATCTTAAGAAAGTAATCAATCATGCAACAAAGTAAAGTGAAATCAGCAAAACAAGAAAAATCAAACACAACACAAGAAAAAAGAGGTACTCTTCATTGTAAGCACTCATCCTCAATGCGAGGCTGGATTAAGTTTTTGAAATTAAACCTAAGATTACAATTTGTCATGCAACAGAGTTGAACTAGCAAAATAAAAAAATAAAAAATAAAAAACTCAACCATACAAATTTGGAGTACACTGCTGTACAATCTCTAATTCCTCTCTCTAGCAAATCGTGTTCGAAGTACACGATCAACTAATTTCCGTATAGACTACTAAATGCAACCACAATTAAGAAAAGTTTACAAAACTACAATCTGTACACAAAAGATAAAACTAAAATTTAAATGGAATGTTAAAGCATAAGAGATCAAATATTAATTGAAGTTCAAATCAAACTCCAGCAAATCAAAAGCACTACAACAAAAAATTAGACATTAACCAGAAGCTATGGGAATGAAATCTAAAAGCCAACTTGCAAAATAAAACCAACAAACACACAGAATAAAACCAACAAACACACAGACATAGAAATTTTGAAACTTTAATTCCTTCTATCCTGCAAGGTATGCTTAGAGCACATAGCCAATTAAGCTTCAAAGAGACAAACAAATGACAACTAGGCACACTCATGAATGAAGAAACCACAACCCAGGAATTTCTTTTGCAGTAACATTCTCCTAATGCATTCTCAAACAACTTAATCAAATTAGATGCAACCACAATAAAAAGTTTGACATCATCAATAACTAAAAAAGCCAAGCCAGTGAAACCACAATAAAAAGTTTTTCTCTCTGTCATGCCACAGAGAGAAAAACAAGAAAACTCCCATACACACAGAGCCACACATTTTTAATCCTTAAATCCTACACACAGCCATACAAATTTAGAATCCATAATTCCCCTGCAATTCATTCTTGGACGACACAACGCATCAAGTTTCAAACAGACCATCACATCACAACCCAAGGGAATTTTTCAAAGTAAAGTTACAAAGCCCTAATTTATGTAAAAGTTTAAAAATGAAACAAGAAGAATCAAGACACAATCTCAATGAGAAAGACACTAACTGAGAGCCTATGACAACATATATTTAGAATTTCAAAGAATCCAGCAAAAAGAAATAATCTTCCTTTTAAGCATTCAACCACAATGCATGTCAAAGATAATGCTTAAAAGAAGAGGGACAGCAGAAAAACACAGTCCAATCCTAAACACCTGAGAATCATTCTTACCCCTATGCTCCTTACCACCCATAAACTCACAGCCATCAACAATCTATTCCACTTTTATTGAAGGCTAGAAATTCTTCAAAGATAATGCCTGCATATCCTATTACAAAAAGCAATGCCATAGAAATATGCATTATGAAATTAGATCAAATTAAGAAAGGCTTCTGTGGATAATACAAGAATATACAAAATATTGGCCAAAGATGAAAAAATGATTACAACCTACAAAGAAAGGATTGCACAAGAAATTAAAGATAAACCTGGATGTTGGTAACCCATGATAGGTTAATTGCCACAGTCCCTGTTAAAGCTGCTGTGAAAACACCAATAGTTTTCAACAAATTAGTCTTTGGCTGTTAAGTAACTTCGAAATCTAACGAGCTAGCTTCATCAACTCAACATAAAGGATCACAAGGTCCAGAGGTTGAGGTCAGCTCCTGTTAATATGCAAAGGTTATTTCAGTGTGTGGAAGAACCCAAAAATGAAGAAACACAGACACTGCCGTTTTGCTATGATGGTTGGTTTTTATAGCAATTTGGAGAAAGCTTTCTAAACAGCCTTTTGTATAATCTTCCCTCATAAAAAGGATCATTACTCAGCCTCAATCCTGCCAATGAAGGATGAGAAACCAAGAAGAGTCATTTGAAAAATGTTCCTAGCCTTTAGGATTCAGCATTTTTTACACAAATGAGGCTACTTTCAGGACTTAACTGTCATTTGAGCACTCAGTACAAGAATCTTTTATATTACACAACAGGTCTCCTAATCAACCGTTCATATATTTAACTAAATCTCTGATTCTTGAGCTAAACATGTGCATGAATTTGTAATTTTTCCAATAGCAAATTAATTCTATTTTATTTACCTCATTAACCAATATAAAATCTTCAAATGATGTGACTACTAGTACAGCAATGGGTACCTTAACTTTCAGTACTTATAAGCAAGACAATAGATGACAAAGACACAAAATGAAATCAAAAACACTCACCATTCATAAATCAATGAAAATGCAAATGTGATACTCGTAAAAATTCATTTTTCATAAGATAGGATGAAAGAACAAAAAACCTAAGTGTTTTTCATTGTGGGTTTGAATTTTTTGCCGTGCAATAACTTTCGTTCATGGGGTTTACCTAGACTCATAATTGTTGTTATATTATTACATTATAATATAAATCAAATTAAGAATTTTTTTTATTGAAAGAAAAAAAGAACAATACTAATTTTTTTATTTGAGATACTATAACTAATTGAAGGTATGGATCCAATCTATAACTAAAGTTATAAAGGGGATACACTCATTCTTTTTGGTTTCTAACCTTTGGTGACATGGCTAACCAGTAAGGCGGGGGATTGCAAATCCCTTATTCCCCGTTTCAAATCAGGTTCTTGCTTGATCAACAAAAAACTTGGAACCCTATATTCTGCTTTGCTCATATGACTCAAAAAATTTTCTCTAGCAAAAACAAGTGCAAGAAAAGGACTCTTGATACTTTCTTGACTATAAACTTAGCAAAGTTTTGTCTTCAAAAATGTTGTAAATCCTTTCATCTAGGATTCAAGGAAAAGTTAGAGTAGGAGAGGGGAATCAGAAATCTTGATATGATATCCCCTCTCCTATTAATGGAGGGGCTGCTAGAAGAGTCTTCAATTAGATTGGATATCATAATGGGAGTGTCTAATTATTAACAAATGAATAGTTGTACAAGGGTAAGTAATGAACAACAGTTACCTTTAGGAAGTTTTTCATGCTTTGAAAGCAAGGTTCAGACAACACATCATTGCAACATATGATTAATGCAACATATATGTATGCAATAATCCCCCATTCCCCAAAAGACAAAGGGAAAAAGAGGGAGGCAAAGAGGAATCTAACCCAAAAGGAAGCATCACATGCATGTGTTGATCAACAATAGGTGACAGACGCTAAAAGCACCCAGACAAGTAGACAACAGAGCTTGCATAGCATTTTACACGTACAGGCCACAACCAAACAGAATAAGTCTATTGCAAATCATTGAAAAGGCTGCAGATCCTAACAAAAATGTTCACCTAATGGCTCCAGCTGCTACTTTGTGAAAATAAGCATGTGAATGCAACCAATCTTTCAATTTTAGCTTTCCAACATATGCACGTGGTGCCATTTTCCGCAAACAATAAGAATGGAAATCAAATTGATCTTCAGTAATATCAGCATAGTGCTTCTCCACAGCTATAAATTTCTCTAGGGCCCGTCCAAAATCACCATGTCGAAAGTAACTTTCATCAGAAGCAAGTTCATACCTTCAAAAGATGGATAACACTCAGTAGGTGTACCCAAATTATAATTAGAGACAACAACATGTGGAAGGTAATAAACAAAAACATACCACATGCACTGCATGTCATGAAGGTTGTTGTGCTGGCCCCCATCTTTCGTGAACAAAACAGCAGTTTTTCCTGCCAAAGCCACCTTCAAAAGTAGAAAAAGCTTGTGAACAGTACAATAATACCGAAAGAAATTTAGTGACAAATATTAACTATGACAAAAGATGAAGTGGGGAAACCTTAGAACCTGATCAGACTGCAACATTCGCTTCACAGATTAACTGTTTACATAGCGATCTGCAAGATCCATACACCTAGCTTCATCTGTCAATGAAGCCACAGCTACCAAATCACCAACATGTTTCAGTATCCGACTCTGTCACCAAAGAGAAGTAAATAATATACACATAGACCCAGCTTCAAGAAAATTCCAAGAACTTCTCCAAAAGATCAAGAAACAATAGCCAGTCAAACTAAAAAACACCAATCAAACTAATAAAAAAAAAAAAAAAACACTCACCTGTATATAAAGGCTAGAAAAGGCTTAATGCAATCAATTGCCGCTTTACGAAATTTGTTTCCTTGCAGTAAATCAAGTGGTATCCTCTAAAAATTGAGAAAACAAAGTTTTAATATAAGTCCTAGAACATTCATCACACATCATAAAGGAAGTAGCATTTATTGGCAATAATGATGCACATTGTAACAGCAATAATTACAATTCTCATGAATGAATACATTACAAATGTGAGTTACAGGAAGAAAACAATTTAAATACATCCTCACTGCATGAGTCAAATTCCAAAAGCTCTAGAGTTTGACACTTTATTTCAATCATGCCATAACCTGGCCCATCGTCAAAAGGTTTTTAAATAGGAAAGTCAGTTTAACTAAAAGAATGAGCTAAAGATAGCCACTAATAAAAGAATTAGCCACCATGTCAACTCTCTAGGGGTGAAGCATATGAAAGCATAATTTTAACCACCTAGAGTTCTTACTATTGTCACATCAAGACATCAATGAAGTATTTCAGCATAATACCACAACTATCTATTTCTAGATTATTTAAGAATATCACAAGCCATCGAATGGACTGTGTCTATTGTAGAACCACATCACTAGATTTTTGTCACATAATTTCTTATCAAGCCATCAAGAAAAACAAGATCCCTACAAGAGTATTTGTAAAAATAGCCGCCCCTCCTCTCTCTAGAAAAGGGGAGAAAGCTTGATAGCTCTACAAAAAAGTAAGGTTTTCGTTGGATTTGCATCATGTGATTCTATAAATAAGAGAGAGAGGAAATCCAGAGTAAATATAATGAACAGAACATCCCAAGGTACCATTTGGAGCTCATTAAAAAAAAATACCAAACAGAAAATCAAATTAATATGACTAACAGCTAAGACATAATAAAACAGTTTACACTAGCAATATCATTATCTACAGTCTATAACGAGAACACATTTTATCATCAGAAAAAAATAGAAAAAAATCAAATCGGGCATTATTTGAAGTAAAAAAATTTAAATAAAATTAAGATGGTAGAAATCAAACCTTCAGAAGGTCTCCAAATTCCTCACACATTCCAATTTGTCCTCCACCAACTAATTCTCTACTTAACAGCCTCAAGTTTCTTGGTCTGCTCCAAGGTATATAACATTTCTGCAACTGCCACTATATGCATCAAAGATTCTGCAGAACCAAAAAGTGAAATTTGCATGATTATACAACCTACCTCAAGGAACCTAAAATGCATCATGTTATGTAAAGGTCGTAATACCTTCCTTCATGTTTACCAAGGAAAACTTTGTTCGCCTCACTAAGAGTTTTCTCCTGCAATTGACTGCGGAAAGAGAAAATAAAGGGATTTAATGCATCAGGGATCAAAATAATAATAGTAACAGTAACACAACAAAATTCTAGTAGGGGGAATAGCTATCATAAAACCATTTCAAAGAGAACCTGATGGATGGACGCTCAGCTTCTAAGACACTCCAAACAAGTTTTTCAGCATCAGTTAATGGAGCAGGCATTGAGCCCAATTTATGGAAAAATTTAATCTGCATTAGATTAAATTCAAATAAGCATTGTAAAGATTACATGATCTTTGTATCTAAGAACAGAAAAGAATGCAGTTGTGCATGGCAGTGCACAAATATGGTAGGGCAGATGTTACATACCAAGCAGCGATGTGAATCTGGATTCTCAGCATCCAGCCTTAGCAGTTGCTTTACAGCCTTCAGGAAAACAAAATAAAACCAAGACAAACGTACTAATATGAGCTCATGAAATAGTAAAAGTACTACTGCACAAAACCATTGTTCTACAACTCAAAGATATGTCGTGCAAACTATCTAATTCACACATAAATTCATTGAGTGAGTAGAGCAATAAGAAAAGGATGTTTGGTTAAACGGTACAGTTTCTTTATTTCAAGAACATATCCACAGGCAGAAAGTGAAAAAAGAGAGGAGAAAACAAGAGAAGGGGCTTCCTCACAAATCACTAGCTGACAATTAAATATCAGTTCTAGTTGACCAAACACAAAAAGAACAAGAAACACATCTCATGTTCAATTCTTGGAAAATATAATACCTGAAAGGCAAGCAAAATCTTCTGCTTTCTCATATTTACTTCAACAGAAAGTAAGTGCGTCTCCAAAGAATCAGGTGAGTTCTTCTGAAGCAAATTCAAGTACTTCGTTGCTTCTGACAAGGGATACTCTGTCTGAAAAAAAAAATACAGATTAAACAGTCTTAGCTTAATAGGCATTAGCGTAACACATTTTTACAGCACGAGGACTTTAATCAGGAATCTAAAGCACAGGGAAAAGATAATAATAGGTAACCTTCAATAATTTTTCTCCAAAAGGATAAGGATCTACAGGTTTAACATGTCGTTTCCCAGACTTAGAGATGCCACTAGAACTTGATTCTTCATTTTTCTCCTCTGCCTCTTAAAATAATACACGGCATCAGAATGAAATCATCAAAGAGAGTGTTAGCCAAGAATCACCAAAACAAGCTGATATACTTTCTTAGCTCGTTCCACCTTCCTCTGCTTCTTCATTTTCTTTTTCTGAGAAGGAGTCTTTGATGTGTCATCCTCTTCTTCAGCCAGTGAGTTCAAAGGAGAATCAAACAACTTTAGATAGCATTTGCACTTCAAAATCCAATAATTATCACAATGCAGAAAGAAAAGGTTCAAAATTGAAGTAATCACCAGTTTCAAGCCAAGAGTTTCAGAGAAAGAAACACCAACATAGAAATGGGACAATGGATCAATCACAAAAACTATTACTTAATTGTTGCATGGCCTGTCACTATATCATCCCATTCCATTTCACCATCAAATCAATAAGATCAATATAAAAAGCTATATAATCAACAAATAAATTCTGGTACGGTAACATGCAATTCTCCATCCTTAACCCAACAGAAATCCCAGGCGCCGCCTTCCTATCATTTAAAAAGCCACAATCTCAAATTTCAATATGCCTGCAAGGAACATTTAATCCTTTCAGTAATAACATCACGAGAATATGAACTTACAAAAGATATAACGAAAGCAAATTGAGACTACCAAGCAAAATTTTTATCCTGTTTGGCATATACCACAAGGTCTCGACATAATATAATAAGAATCCCCTAAGTACAACGTAAAACACCATCCTAAGTATGAAACAAGTATATAACCTTATAAAAATCAGAAACTATAATCTAGAATACTTGTTAAATTAAATTTGACTTGAGCATCATTTGAACACAAATTTTTTAAGCAGATCCAAATATTTGCATCTTCTTTTAATAGTTAATAATTTGTGGGAGAGCATTTGAACTTCAGACCTACCAGGGCAAGAGGAGTTATTGCAACTAAGGTATGTGTAAAGCCACAAAAAAAAAAAAAAAAAACTGCTTTATAATATAACATAATTGGCTTATTAATAGCATTTGTTTCTGTATGGTAAGGATAGACATGTATCCACAGTTGAAAATTCGTTAATGGTATATTTTCCTATATATTATGTATTTGGTCCATCAGGTATATAAAACAAAGAGACGGGGCACAAGGATTGTCTTACATAGCATTCTGATACATAATACTAATTTAATCACATACATATCAATTAGATCAACAAATGAATCAACAACAGCCTCTTATTTGAACTCTAAAACTCTCTTTTGTATTCCTATACAAATGAAATTGAAAAACAGATTGATTAACATTATTTGAAAAAATCATAAAGTTCATAACGAACTTAAAATCATTGTGCATATCAAAATGACTAGTATTGTAGACACCGATTTTGTCCGGGTCTACTGTTTTAATAATAATAATAATATTTTTAATAAAAAAATTATTAATAAACAAAACAAAAAAAAAAAAAAACAAACAAAAGAAACAGAATAAGACAGAAATCAGGGAGTTGGTACGGCGCCGCTGTCACCAGCCTCCGACCAACTACCCGACCAGCCACCCTACAGCCACCAACCAACTACCCTACAGCCACCTAGATCCCCCTAATTTAAGCCTTTAAAAATCTCCAGCCACTTCCCCTTCAAGAAGGAGGAAGCTGGCTGGAATCCCCATTCAACCTTGCTCTAAAAATTCCCTTTTCTGAAACCTCTCCCTCGAATCCCTCCTTTTCCGAAATCTCTCTCGAACGCATAGGAACCCGTTCACTTCATCCCTACCAAAAATCACCAAACGAGCTACCCCTCCCTCAAAACACTCCCAAACACCCAAAATACCCAAACAGAAACTACACCAACCGAAAAAAAAAAAAGAAAAACAGAAACGAAAAAATAACACAGTCCTCGCCGATTCGGCGAGGAACCCAGCGCCAAGGAGGTACCTGCAACAAGAAAAGCAAGGTTATTAGTTTGAGTATTTTATAAAAAAAGAAAAAGTAAAAAAAAAGAAAAAGAACAGAAAACTTAGAACCCCGATCTACGTCGATCGGGGTCGTTTTCGGCGAAGAGGAGACCAGATCTGAAAAGATCGCATCGAAAGGAACCTCCTGGTCACTTTTGAAATTTCCTACCACCGCCGGCGGCGACCCAGGCGGCGGCCGGCTGGGTGGTCCGGCGGTCGGACGGAGCTCTTCCTCAGAGCTTTCTCTCTCCCCGTTTTTTTTCTGAAACAAACAGAATGAGCTGAAAAAAAAAAAATAGGGGTAAGGGGAACAAATAGCCAAAACGACGACGTCTGGACCAGGAGGATCCGCACGCCCCATGACCCGACCCGGATCCACGTAACGACCCGCTGACCCGTTACCTCCCACAGCTCTGATCCGGTTCAATCAAACCGGAATGAACCGCTCCTCAACCGGTTCTACTGAACCGCGAGCCGAACCGATCTCTTTTCGGTCCATCCGAACCGGTCGTTGACCGGTCCGATTCAGGTAAAAATATTTTTGAATTTTTTTTATATTATTATTTTTGTTATTTTAAATATATGATAAATTTATAAATTTGTTAAAATAAATGTTTAATTGTTTTAATAATAATAAATTAAAAACAAATAATAATTAAAAATATATTAAAATGCTTTAAAAAAAATAAATAATTTTTATTATTTTCCCTGCCTAAATGTTGGAAGGAATAAAAATAATTTTTCTAAATAAATTAATTTCGCGGA